AATGATATTATGTACCATTGATGATGAAAAGCAAAAATTCTTTGCTATTTTATGTTGAGAAACATTCTTCTTGAATTGTTGCACTATTTGCTCACATAGTCTTTCACAGAGTGGTGAACTCCTCTCCATCTTTACTTCTGAAAGACTCAGCCTCTCTGAGATGCTCTTTTTATACCTCGCCATGTTACTGACCTGTTGCCAATTAACCTTCACATGTTTTTTGTAGCATTACACAACTTTACTTGCCTTTTGTTGGTAACCCAACTTTTTTGGAACATGTTGTTGGCATCAAATTCAAAATAGGCACATGTTTTTCAAAAAATAAGAAAATTTCTCAGTTTCAACATTTGATATGTTGTCTTTGTACTATTTTCAATTAAATATAGGGTTTAAATGATTTGCACATCATTGCATTTTGTTTTTATTTATATTTTTATTGATATGAAGAAAGCTGCAGTTGTCCGTTTTATCTTGGCATGGCCGTCTTTCTGAAGAGGTGTGAATAGTTTTCACAGTAGGGGTCTTACCCCTCCCTTTTCACCCCTCATTGCTTGCTAGCAGCTCAACATTTCACCTAAGTAATCGAAACTGCGTCTAAATAAATTGAAGTAGACTTGCTTATGTGGTTTATGGCACATTGTTGTCTAAAAAAATGATATTTTAGCTTTCAGAACTTTTTCTATTCACTGAATAGATCTAAGCTGATGTATTATTTGGAATTACTTGGGATTTGTAAAATGATCTTGAGCTCATTTCTCCTTTTCTGTTCTTTATTCTGCTGTGTGATGGTCTCTGAGTGAATGAAATGATAATGTAAACTAACCACCTGCTGTGTTCGCTGCAGCTCAGTGGCATCTGTTTTAATCCGTATATAGCTCCTGCTCTGCGCCTGTCCCACTGCGCAGGGGGGTCTCACTGCTTTGCACACATACCGCAGCGCTCAGCTTTGGCTCAATATGGAGCAAAACACAACTCAACCACACACTGCGAAGTGGATGAAGACTCTTCCACTCTGCAGCCGATGTACAGTAGCTGTAGCACCTGTGGTTTTGGTTGAGGAGGAATCAGGAGGCACATGTAGAGCTTAAAGACTTCAATTAAATGGCATCTTTTTAGCTAACAGACACAAACTCAGTGTGAAATTTGTAGAACCTCCTTCTCAGAGCTCTGTGTAGCTGCTTCCCCTCTGACACTCGCTGAAAGAGAAAGTTAACAGTGTGCAGGTGTAGATTGTTATTCGGTACCCGCTCATTCTACCAGACCACTCCTCCCTCCTCCAGCCGCAGCTACGAGGGTAGCTTTAATAGCTAGTTATCTTCTGTGCTAGCAAATGTTATCTAGCTTAAAGGGGAATTCTGCTAATTTTTTAACATTTCTGAATGTTCATTCAGAGTGGTTTGATGAGAAATGGTTCGCTCAGATTTCTTTACAGTGGTGGTTTTAAGAACCAGGGGTCACCATGACTACAACACAAACATAGCCTTTCTCTTTAATATCCAGAACAACTAGTGAACCTACGTGTGTCTTCTGAGTTTTATAAGGAATGTTGATGATGGTAAAATAGTGATAAATCTAAAAAAAATACGTTTTCTTTGTGGACTATTTTGCCTTACAATTCCCTGCGTGTATCCCTTTGCCACAAATGGACTGAAATAAATTGATTAAAATATAATTTTATGCCAAAACCTTATCACACAACTATCATAAAACAGTGTGTCAGACATCATGCAGCATATTGATAACCATTTCATGTAATAACTTTCTGTGAGGGAGCTTTTAGAGGTGGACGTCTGGTTCCTATCACCACCACTGTGAACAATTCTGACTCGGTAAGTTTCTCTAGAACAGAGCATTTGACGCCAAACCTCTCTGAATGGCTTTGGGTGGCGTTCCCCTTTAATTAGCACCAACATTCAGGCTTTTTTATAGTAACCGCTATAAATTGTTCAGTAGCCTCTATAAAGTAAATAATAAAATAAAAAATTGTTACAGGTTTCTATTGCAGTAGCGTCAGCGAGTCCCGGGACACTGGTCCCCGGAAATATGGAATGAAGTGAAGTGAAATATAGAGAAAAAAGAGGTGACAAAGTGTGGAATATGGAGAGGTTAATGACACGCTGTGCATCTGAAGAGGTGTAAAGAAGATGGAGGAGGAGATACTGAAAAACACACCAGAGGTTACACTGAGTTTAATAATATAGAGCTAAAGAGAAAAGAGCCTGATATTAATTCATCACAGCAGGAGCCAGAACAGGAGAGAGAGAGAGAGAGAGAGAGAGAGAAAGAAAGAAGAGAGAAAAGGGGAGAAAGAGAGAAAGAAAAGAAGAGAGAAAGAAAGAAGAGAGAAAAGGAGAGAGAAAAGGGAGAGAGAGAGGGAGAGAGGAAGAGAGCAAGAAAATAAGAGAAAAGAAGAGAGAGAAAAAGGAGGAAGAGCGACAGAGAGTGGAAAGCAAGAAGAAGATGGAGAGAAATAGGAAAAAAGAAAAGAAGCAGAAGGTGACAAAGTGCAAGACATAAAAGAGAAAAGACAAAGAGAGAACACAAGGGAGAAAGAGAGGAAAGCAAAAGAGAGGACAGAGAGAGACAGATAGAGAGGGGAAGGAGGAGAGAGAGAGAGAGCGAGCGAGCGAGTTGTATTTTATGGTCCTCTGTGGTGTAGTAACCTCTTAGTCGTCTCCCACAGAAACACGGCCCACGTTAAAATGTGAACTCCACACACTCCAAAACACACACACACACACACACACACACCTCATCAAAAGCCGTCATATATGAACCCACCAATAAAAAAGAGCGATTAATAATCCTGACATTGAGTCTTTTGTATATAAATGATAGAACAGGGTCTGAGAGTATTAAAGGCCATTTACCTGCAAGTCTGCTTTAAAGGACACTTCCACCAATTTTTCTAAATTTCAGCATACTTAATTTATTAAGATATAAGTCATTTAGAGTGGTTTGGTGTGAAATGCTCCATTCTAGAGAAATTTACTGAGTCAGAATTGTTCACAGTGGTGGTGATAGGAACCAGATGTCCACCACTAAAAGCTCCCTCACAGGAAGTTATTGTATGAAATGGTTATGAATTCACTGCCTGATGACTGAGACATTGTTTTACAATAGTTTTGAGATAAAGTTTGACTTTTTAACATCCTTTCATGGTGGAGGGATACGTGCAGGGTGTTGTGAGGCAAAATAGTCCCCAAAGAAGACATATTATTTCAGATTTTCCACTATTTTCACCATCATTGTTTCTTTAAATATGGTTCTATATAGCATTAAAAAGGGTTCTTCTTTTGTATGATGTCAAACTAGGAGCAATAGAAGAACCCTTTGTGGTGCTATATAAAACCATATACAGCACAGTCTCCATCAATCTGAAGAATGATTTCACCATGCAAAGAACCATTTAATATTTATATACACCATTTAATATTTATATACACTCTTAAAAATGTTTTAAAGTGTTCTTTAGTAAAGACAGTGGGTCTATATGGAACCATGAGCACTCACAGAACCATTTGCAAGGTAAAGGGTTTTGTGCGTCATAAAATAGTTCTTAAGATTGATGGAGAAAGTTGTATTGTTACACAATAGCAGAACCCTTTTTTGGTGTTTTATACCATATACAACCAACATATTGTCACAAAGAACTATTTAAGCATGCAGTTCTAAATGGAACTGTTGCCTGTATTAAAGAACCTTTGAAGAACCATCTTTAAGAGCATAGAACTCATGGTTCTAAATAGAACTGTTGCCTTTACTGATGAACCCTTGAAGAACCATCTTTAAGAGGGTAGAGCTTGTGGTTCTAAATAGATCTGTTGCCTTTGTTAAAGAACCCACAAAGAACCATCCTTAAGGGTGTAAAACTCATGGTTCCGAATAGAACTGTTGCCTTTACTGAAGAACCCTTGAAGAACCACCTTTAAGAGTGTAGAACTCATGGTTCTAAATAGAACTGTTGTCTTTACTAAATAACCCTTGAAGAATAATCTTTAAGGGTGCAGAAGTCATGGTTCTAAGCAAAACTGTTGCCTTTACTAAAGACCCCTTGAAGAACCATCTTTAAGAGTGTAGAACTCATGGTTCTCAATAGAGTCATTGCCTTTACTGATGAACCCTTGAAGAACCATCTTTAAGAGTGTAGAGCCCATGGTTCTAAATAGAACTGTTGCCTTTACTGATGAACCCTTGAAGAACCATCTTTAAGAGGGTAGAGCTTGTGGTTCTAAATAGATCTGTTGCCTTTGTTAAATAACCCACGAAGAACCATCCTTAAGGGTGTAAAACTCATGGTTCCAAATAGAACTGTTGCCTTTACTAAAGAACCCTTGAAGAACCATCTTTAAGAGTGTAGAACGCATGGTTCTAAATAGAACTGTTGCCTTTACTAAATAACCCTTGAAGAACCATCTTTAAGGGTGCAGAACTCATAGTTCTTGTTAAAGAACTCTTGAAGAACCATCTTTAAGAGTGTAGAACTCATGGTTCTTATTAAAGAACCCTTGAAGAACCATCTTTTTTAACTGTGAAAAGCCCCTGGCGACTCTGGCATGACGCTGCCACTCTAACCTGGTCCACAAACACCTTCAGAGCCCGTATCTCCCTGCTTGTGCGCCCGGATCGCTCTGGGGAGATCAGGTGGAAGAAGGAACCAAAAATAGAGGAGCGAGGCGGCCGAGGGAGGAGAGTTATGATTGATGTGCAGGAAATGAGAGATTTTAACACTTCATTCCTCGCTGTTCCTGCAGTGCAGCGTTTGATTAGGATAGATGGCGCGTGTGTTTTTATTGAACAGTGCGCAGGGATGCTCTGATTTCAGCGCTCTAATACGAGCCGCGCTTCACTGTTGATGTAACCCTGCCTCAGCCTGGCTTAAGTGAATTTGGGCCTAATTGTTTAATGTGCCATGCGTGGATGTGGAAATCGCACGCTGCAATCCGATCGCGTGAGCCGGATTCTGCGGCTGATTTGATGTCTCTTGTATCTTGTCCCAGGGGGTGGTGGGATAGCTTTGGAGGACTGCACATCGCCAACCCCGGCGCCAGAGACGCTGGAATCTACAGGTGCACGGCCAGCAACGAAATGGGATCCGACTCTGAAACGACGCAAGTGCTTTTGGCTGGTGAGTGATGCACTCAACTCAACTCAGCCTGACTCCACTCAACTCAACTAATAATGCTGTACATAGAGGGCTGTATATTGTATATATATCATTATCGTGATACATTATGTCTCGATATGCTTTTCTGAGCATATCGTGGATATTAACAGTACTTAAAGAACACTGACTGACTACATGTTTTATATAACAAAAGGGCATAATTAGTCCTGTTTAATTGTAATTAGTGCAGCGAAGTGTGTGAAGTATTGATCACAAATCACTATATTTATAGTTTTTTTTATAGTATTTACATATTACATTAAATGTGGCATTCTTAGTTCTGCTTTTCTTTTAGTTCCAACTTATATCTCACAAAAACTAAATATTGTGATACATATGTCTTGTGAAAAAATATTATGATTATTATATGATTATTTTTGCTATATTGCTATTATATATATATATATATATATATATATAATAAAAAAAAGTGGAAAAGTGGCATAATGTTTTGTTTTTTGTACAGAACCACCTGCTATCATGGCATCTTCAAGGAACGTGTCAGATCTCCGCAGTGCCAGTCTGAGGGTGCCAGTAGGGAGCAGAATCAGTGTCCGTTTAGGTGCCAACCTCACTCTTGACTGCCCTGTAACAGGTCAGTGATATATGGCACTTACAAAACTACCACATACAAACAGACTCTCTCACTGCCAACCATCGTTATCCACTAATCAAAACCCCTCTCCTGTAGCTCCTCCTTGCTTATGTACGTTTAGAGACTGTAGCTCATCTGTTGATGCACAGTTTGTTTTAGTCGTCCTCTGGTCCTTCGTCAGTGGTCCATTTCTGACCACAGAGCCGCTATTGTCTGGACATTTTAGGGTGTTGGTCCACTATCAACCTAGCAGTGATGCTGATGTGTGTAAAACCCCCAGAGAATGGACCCCCACTCAAATCATAACTGGACAACAGCAATCCTGTAGTCAGAAACAGACCAATGATGGAAGGTGTAGAGGGGGCTCATAAACTGTACAGTAAAAGAGGGACTACAATCTGGAACTGTACACCTGCATAACAGGGTGTTCCTAAAAAGTGGCCAATGAGTGGTGCACAAGGCAGGTGTTTCTAATAAAGTGGCCAGTGATTGTGAGAAGAAATGTTTCTAATAAAGTGGCCGATTAGTGGAACTACAAGGTTGGTGTTTCTAACAAAGTGGCCAGTGAGTAGGGGTAGAAGGGAGGTGTTTCTAATAAAATGACCACTTAGTGGAACTACAAGGTTGGTGTTTCTAATAAAGTGGCCAGTTAAAGGAACCACAAGGTTGGTGTTTCTAATAAAGTGGCCAGTGAGTGGGAGTAGAAGGGAGTTTTCAGTTGGGCAAATTTTGAAGGACATATTTTTCAAAGACTGTTTTTATCAAGATCCTTTCCCTGTCAGTGTTGCTCAATAGAGAATTACTATAAAACCCAAAACAATAAAGTTCTTCATGAACAGCCAGCAGGCCCGTTTTAAAAGTCATTGTGCCAAAGTGGTGGTTTTGTCCTTTTGAAAAAATGGAAAATGTCCACATTCCACTGTTACTTTTCCTCATCACTCCAAAAACAGCAAAACCCTGCTCCAATCCCTCTCTCACTCCCTGTACACACTACAAACATATTGTTTGAGTGAGACGATGTAGCGTAGTGTTTGTTTACGTATCCCATGCTCCATAGCTTCCATCCACAGGCTGAAGTGCAGGGGTGGGGTGGGGGGCAGCAAACGATTTGGCCAACTGGGGAGAATCGGTGTGTAAAGTCAACAGGCGACCCTCTTCTACAGGATTTATACCTGTTCCTCATCATTTACAACTGTTAATCTACTGTAGCCGAGCAGAGCTCCTGCTGTTGGATTGAACAGTAAGGTTTTGTGGGGGCCAAATCATGTGATTACATCTTTATCATGACTATCATTTTGTAGTCTCAGGTTTTATAGCTCTTGGAAAAGTTATTAGTTATTATACAAGAAACATTATTGTTATTTTACTGTACTATTTTTTGTTAGACTAATTTATATACATCCACCTATTCAGTCTGTAGCAGTTTAGCCCCGCCCATTCACACTGAGTGTTTCAGCTCAGAGTGTTTTTTAAAGAGGAACAACACATGCCAGCCAATCAGAACAGAGCTTATTTACATATATCAGTCTTAAAGGCACAGTAAATAAAACATCCTGTTTAAATAAAGAGGGATAAAGAGAGGTTGGACAGTGGTCAAATTCAAATGAATTATGACTATTTTTGGAACATAAATGCACCAAATATAAGTGGAAAAAATAAAATACAAGAAAAATGTAGGATATGGGCCCTTTAAATGTGATTAATAATGAGTTATGCTGTTAGTTACCTTCAATAATATTGCGACTGTTTATTTTCTGGAGTCTGAGAAGGTTTATAAACTTTAATCCTTAGACGTCTGGGGTTATTACTGTCATTCTGCTGTACTATTTAAATGTAATTACACAAAAGCATAAGTAATTTCATAGTTACGAAATATATTAAATTCACATTCTGGCATCCCAGCAGGTCAACAGTGTCTCTCATAATTAGTTCACTTGTATAAGCTCCAAGTTTTTAAATCACTTATCATTCTAATAATTGTTAACAATAAATTACAGTGCAGACTGAAGTGCTATAAACTAGACACTAAAACATAATTTGATAGTTTTTTGAAAATATATAGAAATAAAATATTTTGGGAACAGCAATAAGCTATGATATGATAAAATAGTAAATATTGTTTTAATAATAAACTATATACATCTGTGTATGTAAGGTTCATCACAAGATTACTGTTTGATAAGTGAGATTTGTTCACTGCTTTTTTTGAGTATGAGGCATTCTGGATATTAATTTTTATCTGAATGATGTACAGTTTTCTAAATCATTGTGGAATGATCAACAACAGAAAACAGGTATTCAGACTCTTTTGTTTTATGTTGTGTAATATATATCCAGTGCATATATCCACTTTAAATGTACGTGCATAATGTCTTTTCACTTTGTACTTAAAGATATGAACAAAAAGTATGTATTCATAAGCATAAACAAAGACATGTTTAAAAATGAAATTGGTAGTGAAAAAGTATTCAGGCACTATATTAAAATATACATATGTGCAAAAGTTAAAAATAAAAAATAAATCTACATAGTAATGCTGCAGAAATAAAAATTAAAAAAAAAAAATGTTCATCATATTGTCCTTATAAAATTTGATTAAGAAGATTTAATGCAACAAGTAGCAAGCATGTTGAAGGTGAAGGAGCTCCTTAAAGTTCTAAGGGAGAACATTATTGAACAACACTTGAATAGGAAAATCTACAGAGCCACAACAACGACCTTAAACATCCCTGTTAGTGCAAGTGTTTCTGCAATAAGAAACTCGAAAGTTGATGGAACCCCAACTTGTCGCGCCTGGACAGGTGCATTGTGCAGGATTTCTAATGATAAGACATGCTTTATGCAAATGAGGGCAAATTGGGGTGTGTCCATTGCATGATATGTGAATAAAGTACTCATGCACATGCACTTGTTTTCATGCACCAAAGCTGATTCATCAATTGCGCCCAAATAACCCCTTGTTTCATTGTTGCACAACAGTTTCCCAAATCAAACGTGAAGTTTGTACATCATTCAGTGCACAGCTTTGATGAATAAGGGTCATTATGTGTGTAAATGTGAAATGGATATATGCTCTGGAAGTGTATTAAATATGAAAAACAAAAGTGTCTGAATACTTGTCTCCCTTCACTGTATGATGTATCATCACCTCTTCATTACAGTAAAAGTAAAGCAGCTTACTCTCCTCCACAGTCTACATGTGTAATTACTGTAGCTGTTGGAATAACAGTAGAGCCTGTTTACAGATGCTCTAGTTTGTCCTCTAGCGCCCCCTTCAGTAGTAAGTGGTTTAACATCCACAGTACTGTCAGAATGCAGTGTGTTGTCTGGGTGTTGTCTTTCGCATTTGCGTTCATGAGTTGATGTTTCTGGCCTTAGGGTTAAAGCAATGCTATATCATTCATGACCCTTCAGGTGCAGCGTTCAGATTTGTTCCTGCTAGAGAAACGGCCTTTTTCTACTGATCTTTGGCTAGAATTGACCCAAGGTCAGCCCCAGACATCAGCTGCCGTCTGGAGAGCTTGTTAAACGTTTTCATCGCCTCAGACGAAGGACACCTGTTGTTGCAGCAGGTTTGGCCTGGAGCACAAAGCACCGCTCGTGGCCTTTTCATCAGCCCCTTATTCTCCTGGAAGAGGCGAGAGTGCGATGGAGGAATGAAAGAGAGAAACACTGCATCCAGTCAGCTTTATGAAAGCGAAGAAAGTGGCAGGGCAGATGAAAGATGGATGATGGGTAGAGCTGTAAGGAGGCACTAGATTTTCGTCATTAAAAAAACTCTATTGCTGCCATTTTATGTTAACGTCATTTCGTCAGTACTGGTGCTCCATTTATGTTTATATTTCAAGAAAATTCAGACTTTTATTTTGTCTCACAAACTACCTTTTTGACCAAACACATGAACATGAACATACTTCACACATCTGTGACCTTTCATTGGTACTCTGATGAAATAATAATAGCAATAATGAGCTTTTCCATAGCCATGTGAAGGCATGCTCACTCAGAAACATCGCAACAGTTGCAAATGTTGTACACTGTTAGAAATAAAGGTTCTATGAAGGTACATTTTTGTTCATCAGGGTACAAACAATGTAAAAGTAGTTTTAAGGTCCAGTTGTGTACCTTAAATATGTTTTTCCAGGTGAAAATACGTATTTGTACCTTTTCATAACCTAATGTTTTAAAACAGAACAATAAAATAAAAAGCCTGGAGACGAGACGGGGTGTGTGGAGTCAACTTAGAAAACATAAATTCAATGGATTACGGAACAGTTATGTTCCCTGACTAAAGGTACTGAGATGTAGACTGTCACAGTTCAGTACCTTTTTTTTTTGAGCATGTATGCCTTTTGACTGGTGCTGCCAATATAATAATAATAATAATAATAATAATAATAATAATAATAATAATAATAATAATAATACATGACATTTGTATAGTGCTTTTCTAGGACCCAAAGATGCTTACAGATTACAGTTAGTGGCACAAGAAACAAATACGTAACAATATACAAACAGATGACACAGCAGAGACAGAGATAAATATTCACAGCACAGATGATGACCTAACATGAGCTATAGTAGTTTAGGAAAGGGGAAGATTATATGCAAGGCAGAACAGATGTGTTTTAAGGTTGGATTTAAATGAGGACAGAGAATTAGACGGCTGAATATGAGAAGGGAGAGAGTTCCAGAGGAGCGGAGATTCTGGTTCCAAAACAAAAGCCGTTTTGTGAGTGAGCTTTACACACAGAAGAAATTCCTCTGCTATATGATAATAAAGTTAGCATTTCGCACCATCAGCACAGCTTTTATTGTGTTAAATGGGATTTTTTATTACAATTTATATGTAATACCATAAAATGTTTTGGATTGAAAGTCGTCATTTACCATTTCCTCCTCTATCAGTGTAGATATTGTAAATGTTACAATAGCACCTCCTTTTGGTGTGAGATGAAACATCTGATTTTAATACCATCTCTAAACCGAATTGTGACTTAATGAGTGTGCTGAAGTTTTGCGTGTGTGTTAATGTCTTACCTGTTTGGTCGCCCGGCCTCGCGTCTTTACCTAAGCTTCAAAACGCCTGCCCGCTTTTTTGCCCTCTCCACGTTTGTATCCAATGCAACTCAGCAATATGTCAGTCCTAATGTCTCCCTGCTGTAAAATAGTAGCCAATAAAGCACAGACTGCAGGCCATGTGCAACTCATTACAGCAGACAGGAGCGTCCCGGGGGAGCAGGCTGGAGCGAGGCAATTTGCATTCATTATACCCATTTGTACCAGTAATTTGTGGCAGTCTGCCGGCCTCTCGCTAGTGTGCCCTACCAATCACCATTTTCTACGTTTTCCTAAATGACAATAAGCCTTGAAGTTGATGTTTGACTCTCGCCAGCTGATGGTTAACGTTTGTGGCGATTGCTGGTCCTAAATGTGCTCTGTTTTTCCACATTCTGACCTGAGTTAAGATGCTCCACATGCGATTCTGTTCAATTCAGTTTGATTTAGTTTAATTAATTTTAGTTCAGCTTGATTCTCTTTGATTCAGTTTAGTTCAGCTTGATTCTCTTTGATTCAGTTTAGTTCAGCTTGATTCTCTTTGATTCAGTTTAGTTCAGCTTGAGTTGATTCACTTTGATACAGTTCAAGTTAGTTCAGCTTGATTCACTTTGCTTCAGTTCAGTTCAGTTTGATTAATTTAATTCAGTTAAGTTTAGTTTGGTTCTATTCAGTTAAATTTAGTTTCATTTAGTTTGATTCAGTACAATTCATTTTGAGTTGAATTCAGTTTGAGTTCAAATCAGTTTGCATCTGTTCAATTCATTTATTTGGCTCAACCCAGTTTCATTTAGTTAGAATCAGTTCATTTCAGTTTAATTCAGTTTAATTTAGTTTAATTAAGTTTGATTCAGTTGACTTCAGATTGGTTCAGTTCAGATCCGTTCAGTTAAATAAAGTTAATTTCAGTTCAGTTTCATTCAATTTGATTCATTTTAATTTGGTTCAGTTTAATTCAATTAAATTCATTTCATCTTTAGTGCCATAACAGAAAAAACAGTAGCCTTTCCTTATGTTGTTTTTCTAATATGGCTGTAAAGTGAAATTTAGTGATTTAGTTTGAGGCGAATCAAAGTGAATTGAAGGTTTTGAACCTTCTGCCTTTGATTTGGAAATAAACTGAGCTTTGAATAACTGCATCATTGAATGTAGCCAGTGGGTGTAAAAATGCTTGTATGTTTTGCTCTAAAGTTGGAACTGTATCAATTTTGGAATGTTAGAATTCATTACAACAATATTCAGTAAAATGTGTGGCCAATTTTTCATTTCATTTTTGCTCAAAATGAAATTCAAAGCACATTCAAGCCTAAAAATAAAAATGTTGGCATATAGTTTGTATTGCGTACATTCCATGACTGTGTAAATACTCTCTTAAGTCATATTTGTGTCATCATTCAGTCATTATTCAGTATCATTTTGAATTGTGCCAAAACAAGCAAATCTCATTGAATTAATTTAATGATGAATTGAATCATTTTCAAAAGAACCAAATCATTCCAAGGTCCAATTTATATCTGTACTGCAGTCAGACTGACTGAGAGTGATTTGTCTGTGTTGTGTGATCAGGTGTTCCTCAGCCGTCAGTGAGCTGGCACCGGTTGGAGGGTTCTCTGAGCTCCGGCGCTGTCTCACTCCCAAACGCCTCCCTGCTGCTCCAAAACCTCACGCTGCAGGACGACGGCACCTACACCTGCATGGCAGCGAATCCCATTGGCAAAGCAGCGTCTTCCAGCATCATCCATGTGACGGGTGAGTTTCAGTGAGTGCAGAGTTGTTGCTCCCCCCTCACTCTACCCCATTACGCTAGTAAAATGAAGACATGAAAAATATTGGGAAAAAAAAACAGCCGTCCTTTTGATGAACAGCAGTGTGGGTGGCCATAGCTAAATGTTTTCGTAGTAGTGACATCACAACCATGAATAATTAAAAGTAGACTATTTTTATGGCTTAGTTGGCATAGATGGACCATATGGACCTGGGGTGAATGGGTCATTCTCCATTTGGAGTGGGAAACCATGTCACAAAGGTTGCAGGGCTTAAAAAGATGCCTAAAATATTCGTCACAGCTCTAAAAGTTGGTATATACATTTACACAGTTGACCTAAGATTAAATAATACTTTTCCTTTATGATTTCTCTGATTTTTCTTTTTTTCCTGCTTCATAGTCGCTCTGCATCAGTAAAACAACTCATCACAGAACCAATTTTCATCATTTGAGAAACAATTTTTAATATAAAACAATATTTTTAGGTTTAACTTAGGAATTTATATAAAACAGATTCATGTTTACTTTTTATATCATTAACGTTATTCTACATTTAAAAAATATGTATTTTATTTAAGAAATTCATTTGTCACATTTTTACATTTTAACACAGTATTTTCAGCTCTATTAAACTGCCTCTTTGGGTCGAGGCTCATCAGAGAGGAAGCATCTCAAGGCATGAGAAGGCGAGTCACACTTGCTCACTATTTTTCATCAATTCATTAATAATTTTGTTCATCAGGCAGCTCATAACTTCTATGTGTCACGGGTGTTATGTGCTGTAATGGCTGAGTAATTAAAATTTTGTCAAAATAATGCCAAATATCATTTTTATTACTGATTTTAAATAGTTGCACAAGGTCACCTGACCACCAATGAGTCAGCCAATTTACAAAATCCTCAGTTTTAACCAGAATGTCACTGGAGTCACAGTCACTGGTGTTACACCATATTCATATAACACCAGTGACTATAAAATGTGTTTGGAATTAAGCTCTCATTTTTGTATATATGATAATAGGAGATGTTAATGGACGTATTAAGATTTTTTAGTTTTGGGATGATTTTTTAAAAATGTAACCACCTGAATTCCCACTCCAAATGGAGAATGACTTGAATGGTTCATTTAAGGATGTACCCTCTATCTGCAGGCCTCCTATTGGCTGGGGATTTGAAATTAATATAATCAAATAAAATATTTTTCCCATAACTCTTCAGATGAATGAGGACACTGTTGACTCTGTTGTGACTATGTTGAGCTGCTAGTGAGCAATCAGGGGTGAAAGGCAAGAGCTGTGAAAAACAATTCACACCTCTCCACAGTAATAGCGATAAAACAGGCAGCTGCAGTTTCCTTCTCTTTAAAGCTGCCACATTAAAAAGGGGTTAACAGTTAAACATTGGAACAGTAGGGCATGTCATTCAGTTCACCTCATGGCAGGGATCCTCCTCTCTTTAAAGAGTTTCTGCTGTAAATGAGTCATTGCTCCTCAGGCTTGCTTGCCTTTCCTTCAGTGTGAGCCAGATTTGTGAAGAGCTAGATGCTGGAAATAGTAAGACATGTGACGCTGAGAAATATAGTGCGTGTAAAGTCAGGGCGCAGTTAAAAGCTGGCTTGCCTGAGACCTGCAGGGGTGGTAAGATCCATCTAAGCTGATGAATAAGAATAAAAGATGTTATGGAAGGGATCCATCTTGGCATGGTTTATATATTAGTGGCTGGAGTGAAGAACTGGGGTCGTTTCTGGTAAAAGTCATGCATTACCCACCACTGTCACATAAGTGGTTTATTAGTACTGATGTCCTGGATGAGCTCACTGAGGGGCAGTTTTCATTTCTACAATGCTAGATATCTAACAGGACACTGGTCATCAGATCTACACTCTTCTAGGGTTCTTTAGTAAAGGGAATGGTTTTGTTTATAACCCTGAGTTCTATATAGAACCATTTGCAGGCTTAAATGGGTTTTTGCATGGTGAAATGTTCTTTAGATTGATGGAGAATGTGTTGTATATGGTTCTATATATAACTTTTTTGAAAATGGTTCTATATAGCACCTACAAGGGTTACAAGCTTGACATTGTAACACTAGCAGAACCCTTTTTTGTTGCCGCATAGAACCATTTTCAAAAAGATCCATAAATCTGAAGAACCACTGCACCATGCAAAGAGCCATTTAAGCATGCCAAAGGTTCTATATAGCACTCATAAATAGAACTGTCAGCTTTAATAAAGAACCCTTGAAGAACCGTATTTTTGTAGAAGTGTAGAAGATCTTTAAAAAATTTGTCTGTTATTATATATGATTTAATATCAGTGCAGCAATGTTTTCATTCTTGGTACAACACTTGTAACTTTTCTAGCACCAGTGCTACCTGCTCAAAAAGTTTACATACAGCCCTGTTAGTCAAGTCAAGTGAAGAGGTTTTTATTGTCATTCCATCTATGTAGAAGTACACAGTGGAGTGAAATCATGTTCCTCCAAGGAACAACACGGTGCAACATGGAACAAAATAGACAGCACAAAGTGCAAACGTGCAGACATAAGCAAAAATTAATTAGACAACAACACTAGTAAACAATACAATAAATAAGATAAATAAAACAGACATTAGACACAGTAAACAGACAGGACAGTGCAGCATCGACACAGCACTCATTTCTGAGCATGAGGTAGTGAGAATAAGGTGCAAAGATTATTTAACATGCTGTGATCTGTGAGTAAATGCAGTCAGATTATAACATACGTGAGCACAACAGTTCCTGAGGTTATTTTGTGTTTTTTGGTGTACTGGTCCTTCGGCAGTTTGGGTATAACTGTTGCAAGAAAACAGAAAGATGCACAGATGCAAAGAGAGATGTGTAGCTTGGGATGAATGTACCTGATCATGGTGGAATGATGGGTGTTTTGTAGGCTTGTCAATGGGCAACAGTAGCAGCATCATGTACTGTGTGATATACTGTCTATAGCTGCGTTCCAAAGTCTAGGCTGCAACCGAGGAAGGGCGGGCCCTCGGTAGGTTTGTCCTATGAAGACTCCTCCTTGGTAGCCTATTGGTCACACCAGTGGAACAGTCCTAACGAGCCTGCGTGATGTCACTAGAAAGGTCCTGCCTCTTGTAAAAGCAGCACAAAACTCGCAAGGGAACTGGTGAGAGAAGATGGAGTCCATTGCATTGTGTTTGTTGCTTTTTTATTTCTTCTTAGAAATGGAGGAGATGTTATGTAGTACGATAAACTACATACATACAAATACTTCTAAATAAAATATGATATACAGACGATATATGATATATGAATGAATGCTTTAATTAGTCAATCATTTAACACTTTATAAGGTAACGAAGACGAATTCAAGGATGTGAGCAACTTACATTTTAAAGCTCTGCTCCAGCTTCATTTTCCGCCATTTTTGCTATTTTTTTTTTCCTTTCGTGTGCAGAGAACTGTGGGTAACTGAAGGCCTGGAAGGATACATCTGTTGCGTCCTTGAAATCACACAGAACGTAGGCTGCATTTCTAGGCTGTATATGAAGTGTCCTTCACTTTGGAACGGCCTTCTATGACGTAGCGGCTGAGAAATGCAGCCTAGACTTTGGAACGCAGCTTATGTTAGTACACTTTCAGAAAAAACGGTACTAAACTGTCACTGGGCCAGTACCCCTCTTGTCACTGGGGTGGTACACTCAAAGGTGCATCTCATACCTTTAGTCAGGAAACATAATTGTACCATAATCCATTGAAATTCTATTTTCTAAGTTGTACTGACTCCACACACCCCCTCTCGTCTCCAGGCTTTTTATTATTTTACTGTTCTGTTTCAAAACATAAGATTATGAAAAGATACAAATATGTACTTTTCACCTGGAAAACGTATTTAAGGTGCATAATTGGACCTTAAAACCACTGTTGTACCTTTGAGGGAACATTTACATTGTTTGTACCTTGATGAATGACAAAATGTACCTTCACAGAACCTTTATTACTAAAAGTGTATATATTAATATTATTGTCACACTAATATGTTTGGTATATTTGGAAAGTATCATGACATTGAATTTAATCTGTACCATCCAGCACTCACAACATCTTCAGAGCAGAAGGAGGTGAACAGGAAGCGAGTGGTGATGGCGTCTCGGATCGGCACTGTCATCACCGTCGCACCGGGGGATATTCTGAGAATAGGTAAAGCACTCTTTCTGACAGCTGTTAATGTCTCAGAAGATGCTGGTTCCTCCAACTGTAAGATGTGTTTGTTAGGAAAATTGGATTGTAAAATGATTTAGATTTTTTATAATTCTATTGTCTTACTTGCTAATTCAAATAAAGTGTGTATGCCTGTATGTGTGCTCCAGATTACTCAGTGGATTATCATTAGTATTAGGTTTAGGTTTTGGGTTTGGGTTGAGGCTAAAGTTAGGGTTAGAGTGAATGTTAAGTTTAGAGAAAATGTTTACATTTACACTGCAAAAAAATGGGATCTTGGCATATGAAATAATCATACCCCTTAAGAATCTCAGGCTTATTACATACTAAGGCATTTAGTAACTACAGGGACTTCAATACAACCCGGCTGAGCTATTCTTAGGTTATAGAAGTGTGTAATAGAACTTGGGCCTTCCGGTGGGCCCTGGCCATGTAAGGGGTTAAGTCTAGTCAAAAAATCTCATATTTCTCCTTTTGAGATTTTTGCAGGCTTTATTATTAAGAAAAATTCTCTCACTATTTTGGCAGATCATTTTGCTTATTTAAAAAAAAAAAATACTTGAAACCAGCAAAATGATCTGCCAATATAATGAAATGATTTAGTTAATGAGATATTCCCACAACCATCCCATGAAAAATATTGGATATTTAGAGTACATTTAAGAATATTTCAGGTTATCATTTTTGTAGTGCAGAAGTTGTAGTTACTCACAATAACAAAAGCGTGGTCATTTTATATTAGTGATTTCTTACTAATAGTTCATTGACACAAGTGGAGAAATTGTGTGCAGTTCAGATTCTAAACCTTCAATTAATACCATATTAGTGTTTGTAAGTAGGTGATATTTTATTAGGATTTGAATTTTAAGAAAAAATATTGTTGTATGTGCTGTTTTTTTATGGAAAGAAAATTTTTGCCAAGTTAGATCCAGGTTTCAACCTGTTAATACAAAATATTGAATAAATGTAAATACAATTCTTTGCTTAACTCACAGTGTAATTGAATATAAAATAAAAATATATTAGAATAGCGTAGCAAAAACAAAAGTGGGGAACCCTCAGAGCCTTCAGAGAGGGCCTAATGATTTCTGTGACACGTCTGCAATGTTTAGTTCATTATTTTTAGTATAGTTTCATTATCCTTGCTGTATTTAAACCCCAAGTATTGTAACACTCTAATTTCATTTTTAGGGATTACATTTTGAAACAACCAACGGAACATGGTCCAATTAGGATTGTTTTCTCTGTGGTATCTAAAAAAAACATCTGGAAGTCTTAGATACATCATTTACAGCAAGTATGAGTGGTTGCCTGACCAATGCAATTACTGAGTTCACTGTAAAACTGATACATATAAAGTTAAATATATGTTAATATGTTTGCAACAAGCTTCAGTTAAAACATGGAATGTCTTTTATCTTTTTAAGTGTCAGATGTTGATGTTTATTGTAAAACAGCCAAAAACTGTTCATGTAATGGCTTGTTAGCTCAGCACTAACATACTACTAAAATCCCATAGGGGAGCTAGTGAAAATTAGCATTGTTATAGTGATGTTTTTCGTAGTTTTCTCCTTTTTGGTCCAAACTGAAGGCCTAGTTCTAAAGACTACAGCACATCAGACAGCGTCACTTAGCATCCCTTGCTGATGCTGATAAAAGCTGACAAATTTAAGGCTCCCATTCATTTTTACACTTTACTTATATAAATTGAAGGAAATAAAACTTTCAACATCATTTATCACGCTTGGCATCAATTTACTACCCCTTCACAAATTCACTGTTGTGGAGCTGAAAGATACAAGGTGATAAAAAGACTAGACTGTAATGTTAGCTGGTGTAACAGACTATTAGCATTTCTCAGTTTATCTAAAAGACTGACTGCTGTGATGCACTGAGAAATTGAACAGTGCTCCTTTAGAAACAATGGTTTACCATTTTTGGATGCTATGAAGTGCATCCGGTGTGCGTAGCCTTCGCCCCAGCAAAACAACATTAGTATCTCCAGGTTAACATCTGTTTAGTCGAATTTCAGTATCTACAAAACGTACAGCAGACCATCAAAGAAAACTGTTACTGAGTTTCTGGGACCCCCCGCCAACCCCCGGTCTCCTCTTTTTTCCTGCAGGCTGTCCTGTCGTCCCCAGCCACAGGAGGCCTATTAAGTGGACGTTTCAGAACCAAACCCTGAAGCAGGCAGCAGGCCTGCACTACCGCACACTGGTCAGCGGCCGCGTCCTGGAGATCAACACACTGACCGGCAGGTTTGAAGGACAATACGGGTGCCAAACACACACCAGTGACCAGCTCATCTCTGCCTGGATTCGGGTTCTCTCACAAGGTCAGCGAGGGTGGATTTGCAGGTGTTAAAAGATATTCAAATGGTCCAAGTCCATACAGTCCTGTTTGAACTCATCTGGGTTGTGATACATCCATGTTCCATAGCACACATTGTGTGGAATTATGCAGTTACCATAAATCAAATTGTGGTTGTGATGTCACAGAATAAAACAATATTTTATGGTAGACTCTTTAAATGAGCACCTCTTTTTCTTGATGCACCTTTGCATACTATTGACACGCTCAGTAGCACTTAAGCATCAACATTTTGATCAAAACTTCTTAAAGATTATGAAAAATATCTTTCAATCAGGTAGGTCCAAACATTGGATTGTACTATGATCAAAAATGTAAAGTTCTACACACTGCTGTCACCTTCTCTACAGCTAATGCCAGCAGTACCAATCTCTGATGACGTTTAAGTCAACATAAGTAATATAATATAATATTTTTAAGTAGGACTGTATGAGACATTATGAAGTTAGCATGTGAATCATCACTGAGAATTGACCTTTTGCCTCATAGCAAATCCTATTGTACAAACAACTATTATAATTATATTGTACAGCACTGTGCAAAAGTCAGAGACCCTTCATTTATTTATTTAAGTTTCAGTCAAAACAGCCATTAAGTACAAATTATTCATTTAACAACGAAATATAATATTACATTTCTTTCAATGTTCAGTGTTACTTTTATTCCAGCTTCCATTCTTTTCAGGAGACTCACTTTCAGTTTCTCAAAGAAATCTGCAGACACACCTCCAAAGTTCAGTCTTAGAAGTTGGTCTCAAAGCTTTAAGTGCTGTTTATCTGATGGGGGCAGTTTTGGTGTCTACCAGGTCTTCCAGGTGGATGTTAGGAGCCCCATTTTCTGTCCAGCTTTTAATGAAAACTCTCCTCCTTATTAGAGTGAATTATCTCATATCTAATCTTCTCAGAAATCTGTATAGCTTAATGACCGTTTTGACTGGAAATTTAATGAATGAAAGATGGAGTATATAGGTTTACTGACTGTATATCAGTACTGAATAGTGTTGAATAGCGTGTTGATGTTGTGTATGCAGAGTTTGAGTGGCGTTTAGGTGAGTGGAGTGTGTGTAGTGCGAGCTGTGGAAACAGAGGCTCTCAGGTCAGAAAGACTTGGTGTGTTGGTGCTGATGGTCAGGAAACACATCTGTCCTCCTGCCACAATCGTCCCAGACCGGTGTCCCGCCCACGGCCGTGCAACCTCCACCACTGCCCCCCCAGGTAAACTCCACACTTTAAAACCTACTGCCTGGATCTCAGTTCTAGATTAATTCAGAGCTGATTAAATTTTACCAAGGAGGTTGTTTAGTGTAATGTGCTAGAATTAATTGTCTGATTTGCTGGGGATGAATTACTGGTGTAATTTTCCCACATGATCTCATAAAGTCTGGATTGAACAATCAAAAGCCAGATTTCATATCAGTGTTACACTAGAAGACACATTCAATAACAATAACAACACACTTCACAGCCGTATCTAGCGGAATTCATTATTCCATTAGTGTGAGGTGGATTGAAACACAACTGCCAGCTTCTGTTACAGATGACCATTGGCTCCATAATTATTACTGTCAGACTGTAAAAACTATACACACTGCAGATTCATACTGGATCAAAATCACTCCACAATTATTACTGTCAGACTTAAAAACTGTGCATACTGCTATGGATATTATCAAGCCCGACTGATGTTATTTAAATGAAAAAATCGTCCCATTTAAAATTTCTTCTGTTTTATTAGCCTTGACAGTTTAACAGTTAAGAACTGATCAGTTTTTCAGCAGACAGTCAGTCAGTCAGTACAGCAGTATCTAAGTAAAACTACTGTTTGATATTATTAATTATCAGAATTATCATCAAATTATCAATTTGTATTTGCTATTACAAGCACATCAGTCATATTCCTGCCAAGCACACAGACATACACTTTCTGTCTTCAAGAAATTCTTCACAGATGACGGCTCACTTTATGGATTTCAAGCTCTGAAATGAGTGAAAGTGAACTAAATCCAGCCGAAAGCCTGGTGCAGCGATGTTCCTGAGCACCGGGTTGCGATTCATGGCCAAGCTGCCATTTGCCGTTAAAAAAAACATCTGTCATCCACCTCCTAACATAAGTCTTTCTGGGCAGGATGTACAGACACTTCTACAGGCCATGAATCAGGCCGAATGAATCCAGCAAGACGCTGCAGGAGATTCTCGCCTCTATCTTCATGTCAAAGCTCCTCTGTGTCAGAGCATTGCGGGAGCTTCAGCTGCACTAAAGCAGAAACGGCTCAGCTTTAAGAGAACCTCCAATAACCTGTAGACATCTGGAGTTATTGCTCTCATTTACCATGCTATTAATATGTCATTTAAATAGTAATGACGTAGTTAGATGAATCGCTGCTGTGTCGATTTTTTGAAAGCACCAGCTGCCCTTCACATTGTTTGAACATTTCATGACAGTTGGGTCGACAGAAATGCTCCAAATTTATTTAGAATAAAATCTCATTGCAATAAGGTGCATTAAAGGTAGGAATGTTTTTCCTTCTCTGGTAAATGTACCGTTTCAGAGAGATTTCAAGAGGGCAGATTTACAACCCCATTTCCAAAACAGTTGGGACGCTAAGCAAAATGTAAATAAAAACAAAATGTAGTGATGTGCAAATCATTTAAACCCCATATTTAATTGAAAATATTACAAACACAACATACCAAATTTCATTGTTTTTTGAAAAATATATGCCCATTTTGAATTTGATGCCAGTAACACGTTCCAAAAAAAGTTGGGACGGGGGCAACAAAAGGCTGGTAAAGTTGTGTAATGCTAAAAAAACACCTGGTGGTTGATTGGCAACAAGTCAGTAACATGATTGGGTATAAAAGAGCATCTCAAAGAGGCTGAGTCTTTCAGAAGTTAAGATGAGGGGGGGTTCACCACTCTGTGAAAGACTGCATGAGCAAATAGTGCAACAATTCAAGAAGAACGTTTATCAACATAGCAAAGAACTTTTGCTTTTCATCATCTACGGTACATAATAACATTAAAAGATTCAGAGAATCTGGAGAAATCTCTGTATGCAAGGGACAAGGCCAAAAAACAGCATTGGCTAGCCAAGATCTTTGGGTCCTCAGGCGGCACTGCATTAAAAACAAACATGATTCTGTAGTGGAAATCACTGCATGGGCTCAGTTCATCACTGCATCCACAAATGCAAGTTAAAACTCTAAAACACAAAGAAGAAACCATACATAAACAGGATCCAAAAACGTTGCCACCTTCTCTGGGCCTGCGCTCATTTAAAATGGACTGAGGGATAGTGGAAAAGTGTCCTGTGGTCCAACAAATCAAACTTTGAAATTATTTTTGGAAATTATGGACACTGTGTCCTCTGGGCTAAAGACCACTCAGCTTGTAATCAGTGCACAGTTCAAAAGCCAGTATTCATGATGGTATAGGGGTACATTAGTACACATGGCATGGGCGACCTCCACATCTGTGAAGTAGCCATTAATGCTGAATGATATATACATGTTTTGGCAACATATGCTGCCATCCAGATGTCTTTTTCAGGGAAGGCCTTGCTTATTTCAGCAAGACAATGCCAAACAACATTCTGCATGTATTACAACAGCATGGCTCCACAGTAAAAGAGTCCAGGTGCTAAACTAACCTGCCTGCAGTCCAGACCTGTTACCCACTGAAAACATTTAGCACATTATGAAATGAAAAATACGACAAAGGAGACTCTGAACTGTTGAGCAGCCGTGTCTCCTTAGTTCCCAAACGCTTACAGAGTGTTGTTAAACGAAGAGGTGATGAAACACAGTGGTAAACATGCCCCCGTCCCAACTTTTTTGGAACATGTTGTTGGCATCAAATTCAAAATGGGCACATTTTTCAAAAAACAATAAAATTTCTCAGTTTCAACGTTGAATGTGTTGTCTGTAGTATTTTCCTTTAAAAATATGGTTTACATGACTTGGACATGGTTGCATTCTATTTTTATTTCTGCACATTCTGCTCAGTGTCCCAACTTTTTTGGAAATGGGGTTGTACTAAAACAGGCGCTAATAACCGACAGCTTGCACTGATGTGGGGCTAAACCTTCAGGCAAATTGATATATGATCACTGCAAAGTAAAACTGTTTAGCTTACATGATTTTGCATGGGAGCTTATTTCCACGACATTGGAGAAAAAAGTTCCAAGCAGCAGTTTCTCCAAATTTTGATGTATCAGGTCAAATGTTTGATGTTTTATTTCAAAGTAAAATGAGTTCTCTTGGTATTTTGACTTAGTAAGTAAAATAATGACTTAAAATGTCAAAATAATGATGAATTTTAACTTACATTGTCAACATAATCAGTCAGCTAAAAAGTATCAATAATTCTAAATATGTCACAATTTGAGTTGCATTCCATAAATCAAGGTTTGAGTCTGTATTGTTCTGTTTCGATGTCAAGAAATACATGATTAACATTTCATTAAATTAAAATCATAACAAAGTATCTTTATTTCTACTCACAAATACAAATGTGGCCGGAATTAAAAGTTTAGAAGCTGCACTTTCCGATAATTCCAACAACTGCAATTCCAGTAATTAACATGATATAAAAATATATAATATTTCACCAGTGATAACCAGGCCTTCTAACGATTAAACAATCTGAATGCTGACTTTAGGTGCGAAGTTATATATTATTATCTGATAATATTAATCAGATTGTTGTTTAGTCATTTACTGAGACAGCTTGGCTGTATTTGTGATACAGTATGTGCTCCTCTGTTTGACAGGCTGTCAGAGATTTGCTGTATGTAGCGTCTGGGTCTAAATACAGAACCTTTAAAGAAGCAGGAGACAGATAGTGCAGCTTGACTGGGTTTTTCTTTCGTGCGTATATGGATGGATATTCATGCCAAAAACATCACCTGATTATTGCCATGCGGTGAGGCTTAGCGCATGAATCATACGGATCTGTGAAAGCACTTAGCGTCAGCTCCGGGCCGTTATGGGGGGGAATCCTCGCACAAAGCCCGTCTTTGTTATGACCCCGCAGCGCTCCTCCTCAGCCTGACGACCTGCCTCTCAAACACCGAGCACACTCGTACACAAACCGAGCTGCAGCAGGACAGCACGGCTCCGTCTGGATGTCACCAGCGGAAAAGATGGGAACTATTTTTGCTCAAAATAGATTTTCCTTCTTCATAAAAGGAAGGAAGGAATCTGATGAGAGGCCTGTTACTGCCTTAATAGCTGTTTAATAAGTTTGTCGCTGCAGGATTTTAGCAGAGTGTTGCTCATGACATTCATTTTATTAGAACTTTATACTGGATGGTAATTTTATTAGAAATTCATTTAGGATATTAATTCCATTAGAAATTTTGTTAGATAGAAGTTCTATTAGATATTAGAACCATCTGTTTTAAGAGTGTAGCCTCTTCATTCTCACTGACTAAACCACATTACCTCTTACAAAAAACAGTTCTGTTAGCTAATGATAGTGTTTTACTCACTAGTTTGTTTTGCTTCTGTTACTGATTGTACTTTCGACGTTAAAAGAGGACGGACTGGAGGGCGGGGATTAGAGGAGGCGTTTTCTATGGATTTTGCCGCAAACCAACACCAAAAGGTTAAAACGTTGTCCCCAGAAGTATATGCTTGTTTAGAGATTGTGTGTGCTCCCACGAGACTGTTAATGATCAGGCTCTTCTGAGCTAAGTTTGTTAGAAAAGCAAAAACATCACAATTTAACAGAGCTTGAGATCCAGTGTGCTTTAAATGCTAAACTCTTACTGATGTCTGAGTCTAAACAGTCTACTTTGAATCATTTTCCAGCTGGGTGTCCACCGTCTGGTCTAAATGCTCCTCATCGTGTGGCCGAGGCATCCGGCAGCGGCAGGTTTCCTGTCAGCATTTGGAGGCCAATGGGAGCATGCGGGTTCTGCCCAACTCAGAGTGTGAGGGGACCCCTAAGCCGGAGGAGAGTGAGGCGTGTGTATCAGACGCCTGTGCTGAGTGGGTCACCGGATCCTGGGGACAGGTAAACTGACTGCCCGCAATCAAATATACAAATATGTACAATAAAAACAATATGTACGATAATATTTACATCATTTAATAGGAATAGGCTAATGAATTACTATTTTGTTGATCAAACATTGAGTGTGTTTACATGCACTTAATAATCTGATAACTGCAGAAAATCAGATTTTGTCAGTAATCTGATCAAAGCGTTTACATGCACTTCGGTAATCAGATAATGGGGAAACTCCAGGTCTACATGAATCAGACAGTAATCAGATTTCTGCTTTGCAACCAGCCAATAAACTCACAGAAGAAGACGTGACGTAATTGTGATGTAAAACTTGCCGCAGCTTTTTTTTTTTTAACATTGCGCCAGTTTACCTGAAAATATGAGCATACATAATCTAGAAGATGAAGACTATTTAAATGCTTCATTTCGTCAAGTATTTAGTTTTAGTGTCACTCCAAAAGTGGTATTTCCGGTAGCGCTGTCTGTTTTCACAGATGCGCAGACTGAGAAATCTGAAAGAAATCAGAGTAAGAGTTTACATGCACTGAGAAATCTGATTACTGAGCTAAACTCCAGCCTATTTATCAGATTTCTTAATCGGATTTCTAGACCTTACTCCAATCTAAGAAATCGGAGTATGCTGTTTACATGACCATTTGAATAATCAGATAACTACAGAAATCTGATTATGATCAGATTTTTGAGTGCATGTGAACACACTCTTTGTTTCTTCTGTTATTTTCATTTTCATACAGTTTTATTTGTCCTTTTGGTTCTTATGCTTATATTTTTTGCAATGATAGTTGATGTTAAATATGCTTTATAAATAAAATTTACTTCCTTAGTACGATTATACCTTGAGTTGCTAATTTATAAGGTAGTCATATTCATTGGCCATTTTACCAGAAACACTGACCTTATAGCTCCACTATGTAGGTATACAATTACAGACTGTAGTCTGTACAGACTAAAAAAATATCTAGACAAGAGCAGCTCTGACCACTGATGAAGAACTAGAGCTGTGGATCAACAGATGGTTTACAGTCTGTAACTGCATCATTAGGATTTGTTAATCAGTCTTATTGCTCTGGAAACAAATTGTCTTTAGATATTTTTGTCTTTTCTCCAACTGTTTAACAGTCCTGGCCTGTTTATTTTTGCTTATTAAACAGAAAATGCATGATGATCACTTTTATGAAAATTGAAGAGTGCTGAAGCTAAATTAAAGTGGGCGGATTAAAGGGGAATTCCACTGATTTTTGAAATTTCCTGTATAATTCAGTGTTTGGATTATAGTCACAGTAAACAGAGTGATTCAGAGTGGTTTGGTGTGAAATAGTTGATTGTAGAGACTCAGATGTCTTTATAGTGGTGGTGATAGGAACCAGGGGTCACCATGACTACAACACAAATATAGACATTTTATGTACTATCCAAAACCACCAGTGAACCCACACATGTAATCTGAGTTTAATCACCCCCACCGTAAACATTCTGACTCAGTAAGTTTCTCTAGAACAGAGTCACAGTTTCACACCAAACCACCCTGAATGACTCTGTTTACATCTTAACCATTTAATCATGCAGAAATTTCTAAATTTGAAATTGATGTAATTCCCCTTTAACACAAATAAGTGTCTGTCATTGTGGGCACCTGTTTGGAGACTTTGCTCTGTGTTTTTTTTTCAGTGTTCTGGTCGCTGTCTGGGTCCGGCTGTGTCCACTCAGAGCCGGACAGTTTCCTGCAGACATCTGAACGGCTCCAACTCCAACTCTGCCTGCGACCCCAAACAGAGGTGTGTTGCAGCTCACACACAAACACAGGCTGCCTTGAACAGGCCTGTAAGACAAGTGCACATTTGTGTGCACATATGTAGAAAATACGAACATTAAAATCTATCTGCAGCACCAACTGGTTTGCTGTGATACATTATCACACATAACGAAACACATGGTAAAACATAGCACTGCTGACCATAAATGACAAACCAGCAGCACTTTATTTTTCACAGTCTTAACATGAAAAGGAGCATTTGCCAACATTTAAGAGCTCTTTTGCAACTCTGTCATACTGAATAAAGAGATATGTTTACTTTAAAACTATATAACACTAACAGGCAGAAATACGTTCTCACAAGTGTTCTACTTCAGATGGCAGACTTTTCTGACAGCGCTCCAAGTGTGAAAGCCTTGTAGCTCAGAAAGCTAATAATCATGTAATGTTTGTAGGGTAGTGATGTAAGCTGCTAGGTTAGCTGCTCTGCTAAGCGCAGCTACACATCTACCGTAACCACCCACCCCAGTTGCAGACTTTTTTGCTGCACTTGCTCTGTGGATGTACTTTCACTCGTTCGGCTGCTCCGCTTTAGCTTATAATGACAAAATGATATCAATATCACTGTTGCAGGGAATTCTATGGAGTTATCATTCTCAAATAAAAAGGTCAGAATAAGTCCATGTGCTTTTTTGACAACCATCTTGAGATTGATACCCCCACATTGAGATTCACACTACTGGTTTTTCTATCTACCTTCTTTTGCATATTTTGTAAATATGCATCAAAAAATGCCTAAATATTGGAAAAAACTTTGGGATGAGGTGGAAAAGTTGGTTTGTCAGTCAAGGAGAAATGTGAAAAAGGGTGATGAACAGCTCTCTTTTATATATGATGATGTAGCAGGACAGGTATGGTTTGGCACCTCATCCTTTCAGAACTCTCAGGGATTTGGTGGGTGGCGGTGAAGTGGGAGAGTGATTTCAGCCACTGCCCGCTCCGCTCCACCTGTTGTCTCTGGACTGTTAAGGCTACAGCCATGCGTAGCTGACAGAGGGCTGTCAAAACTGCTCTACGCTCCTAAAAAAAGTTGGTTCTTCAAGGGTTCTTTAGTAAAGGCAAAGGTTCTATATAGAACAATTGCGTGCCTAATTTCTTTGCTGCAGATTGATGGAGAATGTGTTGTATATGGTTCCATATAGCACCAAAAAGAGTTCTTCTATTGTATGCAAGCTTGACTTTGTAACAATAGAGAAACTCTTTTTGGTGCCACATTAAAGTAATAAGCCACGAGATGCCGTACTGCGATCATGGGGAAGGGTTCTTAGGCACGAAGCGAATCACAGTAACGCAAAGCCTCAAGTGGCTTTCAGGAATTTTTCTCATATAACAATGAATATATGATAATACAGCACTGTTTAATGCAAAGACTTTTGCTTTATAAGTATGTTTTGGTCACCAATTTACCACCACAAGTCTTAGTTAGCACCAATCCAGCAACGCTCCTCTTCTCACGCTGGGGCTGAATCTCAAACGGCTCCCTTCTTCCTACATAGTGCACTACTAGAGAATTTAAATACTGGATCCTGCAGCCCAACAGTGTATAATATAGCTAAGAAACAGTCATTTCGGATTCAGACACATCGACTCTCGATAAATAATGCACTGTTTGACTGTAGAGGCTAGAATTTCTAAATTTCCCTAGCAAGCACACTATTTAGGGAGTACAGAGCCGTTTAGGATTCAGCCTGAGTTTTTTACACTTTTATACTGCTGTTTTACAGTAAATCATATGGTAAGTACTTTAATTCAAGTCTATGATATTAATGATGATCTTTTAGCCTGTTAGTTAGCTGACCAGACTAGTTCTAATTAGGAACATAAGTTTCCCCTCAGTTTAAACAAAAAAAAGGAGTTACTTCATCAGTACACTCAGTGGTTCATGTAAGCAGCATGTGAGTCAAAGATTGAGTTCAGTTGCTGTGAGGTGGTCATAGGTGTGCGTATATCGCGGATCTTACAACGGCTTTGAACGCAGATAATAAAGGTTTCCTTTGTTGTAGACAGCACAAACATGTTTTTCGTCTTTGCGCAGAACCATAGTCAGTGGAAACACTGATTTATTTGCATTTTCTTTTATCGACTTTTCAGAAATTCACTAAAAATTTGAGAAATGTTAGAATGGAAACCCAGCTACTTTGAGCTTTTGGGAAAGCTTAAAATGTACTTGTTATGGCATCAAATTGTTTATTTCTTTGCTTCTAGGAAACTAATGTATTTAAAATTCACAGATTTGGCAAACAAGGAAGAACTCAAATTAAATTACAACTTTTACACTTTTTATTTCACCATGATAATACAAGCTCTCTCTCTCTCTCTCTCCCTCTCTCCCTCTCTCTCTCTCTCTCTCTCTCTCTCTCTCTCTCTCTCTCTTTCTCTCTCTCTCTCTCTCTCTCTCTCCCCTCAGGCCAGCCTCAGTGCGGAACTGCACATCAGAAATGTGTGACGTTCACTGGCGGGTGTTGCCATGGCGACGTTGCACGGCGGCCTGCGGGAGCGGCTTTCAGTCACGCAAGGTCGAATGTGTCCATCGGCATAATAACAAGACCCTCCCTGACCTGCACTGCGCCTGGCAACGGCGTCCGCTCACCTGGCAGCACTGCAGCATCACCTCCTGCGGCAGTACGTCTGTAACCTTTAACCTTTTACAATCACCACAGATCCAGACAGTTAATGACGCTCTACTGTCTGTGTTTGTGCTGCTGATAAACTCTTCACTTTCCTGTTTCTGCATGATGGTCAGGTTGTTCTGCTGACATCTCTCCAGCTGTTAACGCTCTCTGTTACAGCTCCACCTTACTGCTGTACAGTTAGAGACTGTAGCCCCTCTGTGCGACACTTTTTGTGTTAGCTGTCCTCTCACCCCTCATCAGCCAGTTTCTGACCACAGAGCACTCTTGGCTGGACAGTTTTGGGTGGTGGACCACTCTAAACCCAGCAGTGACAACCCAGCTACACCACTGTACATGTGAACCCCTCAAAACTTCAAAGGAGTAGCAAAAATGTCTTATTGTAATGATAGTATATTAATAATATATTTTGATAGTTTTTTTTTATCAACTTGTCATGAAATGTTTACACAGTTAAAGGACAGCCAGCATTTTCAAATGGTGTAAAAAAATTTATGTTTTGATATCACAGTGATGATATTCAAGTATAAAATAATGACCAAAGGAATGGTATTCTGGTCAACCAGTATAAAGCAGTGGCCAGAGTAGTGATGTACTGGTCAGCCAGTATGAAATAGTAATCAGAGTGGTAATATACTGGTCAACCAGTATAAAGCAGTAACCAGAGTAGTGATGTACTGGTCAACCAGTATGAAATAGTAATCAGAGTGGTAATATACTGGTCAACCAGTATAAAGCAGTGACCAGAGTAGTGATATACTGGTCAGCCAGTATGAAATAGTAATCAGAGTGGTAATATACTGGTCAACCAGTATAAAGCAGTGACCAGAGTAGTGATATACTGGTCAGCCAGTATGAAATAGTAATCAGAGTGGTAATATACTGGTCAACCAGTATAAAGCAGTGGCCATAGTAGTGATGTATTGGTCAGCCAGTGATATACAGGTCAAAAAGTATGAAATAGTGATCAGAGTGGTGATATACTGGTCAACCAGTATAAAATGACCAGAGCAGTGATATACTGGTCAGCCAGTATAAAGCAGTGACCAAAATGTTTATATACTGGTCAACTAGTAAAGTGACCAGAGTACTGATACACTGGTCAGCTGGTATGAAATAGTACTCAGGGTAGTGATATACAGGTCAAGTAATATAAAGCAGTGACCTGTAAAGTGATGTACTGGTCAAGCAGTATAAAGTGGTGACCAGATAATAATGTAATGGTCAACCAGTATAAAGCAGTGAAGAGTAGTGATATACTGGTCAGTCAGTATAAAATAGTGAAGAGAGTAGTGGTATACTGGTCAGCCAGTCTGAAATGGTAATCAGAGTAGTGATATACTGGTCAACCAGTATAAAGTGACCAAAGCAGTGATGTATTGGTCAGCCAGTGATATACTGGTCAACATGTATAAAATAGTGATCAGAGTGGTGATATACTAGTCAACCAGTATAAAGTGACCAGAGTAGTGATAAACTGTTTAACCAGTATAAAGCAGTAACCAAAATAGTGATATACAGGTCAACAAGTATTACATAGGGATCAGGGATCAGAGTCGTGATATACTGGTCAACCAATATAAAGTGACCAGATTGGTGCTGTACTGTTTAACCACTATAAAGTAGTGATCAGCATGTGATCCCTGCCAGGTTTTTCCAGTGTAATTGTACTAGCTGATCTACGTGTGTCCATCTTCTCCAGGCAGTTGGAGCTCCGTTGTTTAAGCATGACAGACCGAGAGTCCCTCCTCCTGCTCTTTTTCCTTTTCGACACCTTCCTCCTGTTTCTTGTACAGCTGGAGCGAAACAGAGAGTGAAGGAATATTCAGTAAAAGCTCAGATGGCCTCGTAATGTTTTTAAGGCTGCCGTATTGTTTGGCTGGCTGAAGATTTCTTCACAAGCGCTCTTTGTGAAGCCCTGGCAGTGAGCTTCTCACATCAGATCAGACCTTCGCTTTCAGTTTCAGCCGTCACTGCTGGTTCCTCTTGTAGCCACAGTACAAGATGAATTTACACCAGCTGTGCTGAAAGTTTGAGGACAGCTTTACTTTCTTTTGACATTTTGATTTTCTCTCTGACATAAGAAAATGTCAATGTCTAGCATGGTAACGCTATAAGAGACGGAAAAAATAACGTTTATATCTTCTTAATATTCTTAAAATGCAGCCACATTTTATTCCAAGCAAATTTGGATTGTGTCTGTCGGTCCAATCATTATTAAACTACATCTCCTGTTGAAGGGCTTATATCCAGCAATGATCTCTGATGTCTGCCAGAGCCGTTTGTGAGGGTTTATGTACTAAAATCAGTCATTATTCATTTCTATATGACCTTTTTCCAACCTTCATTTCTTAGAATTAAAAAGGCTGTTTTTGTTACTGTGCATGTGCATACTGTCTCATTCAAGCTTGGTTTTCCATATGAACTGTATGGACATTGGAGTGAATATTACATTTTGAAACTTGATACTACCTCAAACTTCTATTTCAAGTTAGGAAAATTTAGTTTCCCATTATGTGGGCCACAGGATATCGGCTCCCTTACCAGGATATACTGGTCAGCCTGTATAAAAAGGTAATCAGAGTAGTGATATACTGGTCAGCTAGTATGAAAGGGTAATCAGAGTAGTGATATACTGGTCAGCTAGTATGAAACGGTAATCAGAGTGGTGATATACTGGTCAGAGTAGTGATCTCATGGTCAACTGCTGTAAAGGAGTGAACAGAATTACAGTATGTGGGTGTGTGTGTGTGTGTGTGTATGTATGTGTGTATATATATATATATATATATATATATATATATATATACACACACACATATGTTTATCATATATATGTTTTGTTTTCAGGTTGTATTTTCGGCCTTTTTTCACTCTGTTTAACTCTTGCTGTGTGTAGGTGAGTGTAAGGACACGACGCATTACTGTGCGGTGGTGAAGCGCCTCAGACTCTGCCCGGTGGAGCCATACACCCAGCGCTGCTGCCAGTCCTGCTCGCAGGACGACATCTAGTGGTCAGTAACAGACCTGCTCACGCCCTTCCGGCAGACCCAAAGCTGACCGATACGTCTCTATCCAATCCCAGCGTGTGCTGCCTCTACAGATGTATGAAAAAAGCTTCAAGACTTCGCTGAATGAGTGAGGAAACAGCGCTGGCTGCACTATTTTTGGACTTAAAGGACTCTGGTACACAGAGTGAGCTGAAATGGACGCGCTTTGACAATTCAATTCATCACTGAAGGAGAGAAAAGCACTAAAAAAGCAAAAAAAAAGCTCTCTCTCTCTCTCTTTCTCTCTTTTTTTCCCCCGACTAAACCCTGTTCATTAACGGCATCATGTACGTATTAATTTATGAGAAATGTGTTTTTGGCTTTACTGATTGAGGTAAGAAACAGAGAATACTGCTGGACCATTCACACCTGTGAAGGGACACTGAAGTGAGTACAGATGAAAGTGTACATAGTGTACTGACATTAAACCCATCAGTCACGCACAGTTTAAAAGACGAAACAGCCTGGCTTTCTTTTTCCTCTGATATTTTAGTTGAGAAACTGCATCAATATTACATTAAAGGAATACTCTAAACCTCATCTCCATCAGCTGCATCTGTATCGCACTGTCAGTTACCACAGACAGTAACTTCAGTGCGTTTCCCAGTAATCAAAATACACATATAATAGCAATGTGCAGTTGCTGAATTCTATATTATAAACATTACATAAATATTTTAAATATATGCGTATGTAATGCAAATTACAAAGTACAACTATACAACTTAGAGGCTATGAGGGGTTTCTGACCGTTTGCAGCCCAAAAAACCAACCATAAAAGCTTTTGCGGCTCACAAGACTTAACTCACCTGGGCTGTTCAATTTTCTCCCCAATTTAGTCGTGTCCAATTCCACCCACTAATTAGGACTCCCCCAGTCACGCGATACTACCAGTGCTAGGAGGGCGAAGGCAAACACAGGCCTCCTCCGAGACCCGTGAAGCACTACCGCATCTTTTCGAACTGCCGCCGTCATTGGACAGCTGAAAACGCTTGGAGGAGAACACTAACCACCAGTTCTGTTACGTCAGCTAACAGACGCCTGTGCTGGGTAGCACAGCATTGAGTGATGGGGAGGAAGTAAAAGGGGGCCACCCAGATAGAGCAAGGCCAACTGTTCTGTTTGGACTCCTGGCCACAGATGGCTGTAGCATCACAAGGGATTGATCTCGCAATCCCATTATCACAAAGATATGCATCATATTTACAATGTTTGGTTAAATGTCTACATACTGTAATGAAGTTTTGCAATTTCAAAAAAATTGTAAACTTTTCACCTTGTACATTTTAGATGGAGAACTGTAATACCATGATACCATAAATTCGCTAAATGAAAGTTTTACTCCATTAACTCTTTACGAGTGTAAATGAGCTTGTGCTATATATATATTGCTGCTTCAGTTTTTGACAAAATTTGAAAATGCCTTTTGCCCTTTATATTCTCTGTACATTTCATGACGAATGGACCAAAAGAAATGGCCACAATTTACTAGGAAAAAAGTCTGGTTTTATTGACTTTCATTAAAAGTAAAGTGGGTTTTTTACCTCTCCTGTAAAGTTTCCATTTTGGAGATGCAAGCTTTTGTTCTGACAATATGTATACTGTAAGAGGGCCATTGGCAGTCCGCTGCTCTAAACCTTACCCCACCAGATGCGGCGTGCAGCACTGCATATCAGTTACAGCGCCAATAACCACCAAGCACAAGCTCATTTACACTCTACTCGTACAGAGTTAATGGAGTAAAACTTTCATTTAGTGAGTTGGTCACATTTGGTATAACTAACTTTTCACAAACTCACTGTTTTTCAGCTAAAATATATGAGGTGACGCTAGTAATGTTGTGGCGCTCAGAGAAATTAAGCAGAGCTGGAAGGTGCTGTGTGGTGCGTGTACATGTTCTTTATGACGGTTTTGGATTTTTAGACACATGGTGCGTTTGGTGTGTGGCAGCCTTTCAGCTGTTCTTATGAAGTTTTATCCAACTTTCAAACAAGCATTTCCAGTTGCTTTCACTCTCCTTCAGGTTCTTCTCCCTCAAAAAACTAGTTCCAAATGAACAACTTAATTTTCAAATCCCTGACTGTTCTACCAAAACTCATTTACTGATGGTATTCAGCGTCTGCCCACTGACTTCTAGGTTTTCTGTTATTTTCTAAATTCAGGGAAACGCCTCAAGATTTTTTAAGGCACATGTGTCGAGCTCCAGTCCTAACGGGCCAAAACACTGCAGACTTCTGCACGCTGTCTCATTAAACACACCTGATTTAGCTTATAAGCTAATTAAAAAAGACTTCATGAATTGAATTCAGAGTCGAGGTCAAGACGAGGGTAAACACTGATCTCTGCAGCACTTTGGCCTGGAAGGTCCCCAGTTTGACATGCCTGATTTAAGCTAATCGACTACATGCTACAGACACAGCGGACTGAGATCAGTAGATTATTCCTTTAAAAGCGTTTTGTTTGTACAGTAGTGAAGCGTTGCTGCCATAAGTAAACATCTGTAATGGTTTCTCCATTTGAAATGGAAAAGCCTTTTCAGATGTACGTTTTGTGTGTGTGTGTGTGTGTGTGTTGAACCAATGTGCTGCATTGTAAAATATTTCTTGTACATAATGTGTTTTTAAGTGCAATATTGTACATTGAGTGTAGAGATTTTGGACTTTATTTTCTTACTTGGCAGTTTAGTTTAGGTTGTAATCCATATTTAAGGCTAAAAATGTTTAAAACATTTAGCACTTGTTGATGTTGGTAATCCGTGAGTTGAGTATCATGTTCTACTGTATTTATACGCATGCATTTTAATTACGTTTTACAGTGTTCGTCGAGAAAAGCCACTCATTAAGAAATAGTACAGAAATACAACAGTATTTCACTGCCTACTGACATGTATGACCTCTTGTCCAGAACCCTCAGGCTAATGAAGCCTGTTTTGGAAGAGAGGTGAGAGAGGACTGAATGGAAATACAACAATATACATATTTCTCTGTGTTATAGTGTAAAGACAATAAATACACTTTTCTGAAACAGTTTATTTTTCTTGTTGATCATTGCTGGTACATACGGCAAAGTGTCACTTACTTCATTTATTCTTTCATACTCAAGTAATAGTGTATTGAAATAATATTTTGGCACATACATGTTTAACATTTGAAGGGTAATTACACCAATTTGTCAAAACTTTTTGCATAATTCAGTCAATAAGATGTAAATAGAGTCATTCAGAGTGGTTTGGTGTGAAATGCTCTGTTGTAGAGAAACTTACTGAGTCAGAATTGTTCACAATGGTGGTGATAGGAACCAGACGTCCACCTCTAAAAGCTCCCTCACAGAAATGTAGTACATGAAGTGCCTGATGTATTTTTTTTTCAAAAGTTTTGAGAAGGTTTTGGCCTAAAATCTTTCTTTGAAAACATGTTCATGGTGGAGGGATACATTCAGGGTGCTGTGAGGCAAAATAGTGCCCAAAGAAAACTAATTTTATCATCATAAACATTCCATATAAAACATATAAAAAAGAAGACGTGTAGGTTCACTGGTGGTTTTGGATAGTAAATAAAATGGCTATATTTGTGTTGTAGTCATGGTGACCCCTGGTTCTTATCACCACCACTGTAAAGAAATCTGAACCATTTCACACCAAACCACTCTGAATCACTCTGTTTACACCTCAAACACTCAATTATACAGAAATCTCCCGTAATTTTTTTCTGTCATTACTGTCACTCGCCAGTTTTTGGATTAATTTCCTTATAGTTTACAGGCCTACACTGTAAAAACTAAATAAAATTTAGTTATTTGAACTTCAAATAATGACTTGAAAGGGCATAAAACACAGATTCTTGTTCTGAATTTTGTATTGATATATTCACAATTCACACCAACATATTTTTTTAAACCAGCACCTTTTAAATCTTCCTTATGATTCATTTAGAAATATATTCAAATTGAATTGACAGTATCTGTCAATGTTAATGAAATACAGTACTAAAAATACTGCACATGGCTGCACCTTTGAGTGCACAAACACAAACTGATAAATGAGATTTCGTTGTTGATCTGCAATACAGTGCAATCAAAAGAGAATACAGCACTGTGGTAGGAAACCGGAGCACCCAGAGGAAACCTATGCAGACACTCCACATGGAAAGGACCCTGGTCACCTGGCCGGGGAATCGAACCCAGGCCCTTCTTGCAGTAAAGCAACAGTACCACCCACTGTGCGTACGGTAACTAGCAACGGTCAAAAATCTTTTTCCAACACGAGATAACGTCTGTCTGGAAAAACACAGGACTAAAATGATCAGAGCAGTGCTGAGTTGGTCGAAGACGGGAGGTAATTCAGCCTGTAAATTTTTACTGAGGCAATAAATCACTGACTTGCAATAAAATCACAGAGGAGCACCTGTAAAAAAGGAAATTATCCCAGAATGCCATGTAAATTTAATCCCATCTGAATAGGGCTTAAGTTGGACGCCATGTGTTCCAAGTGTTCTGAAAGGCCTGTATGTAGAAATTAGTGCAGTAGAAACATCTCCCTTCATTTACTGATATTGTAAGTGTCAATATGATAAGTGTGAATGGTTAAAAAAGTTAATGTCTTATTTGGTAACTCTTCAAATACTTTCCCTCAACCTTGTGTCGTAATTTGATTTAGATTTATCTTGTAAAATATCATAATACTAATTAAGTGTTAACATAATGGTTAGGTCAAAAATTAAATATACATAATTTACCCTCTTCCCCCAAATATAGTCAATCAGATGAAACGTTTGGTGTCTGAAATTTACTTCTTCTGTTTTGCACTGGAGCTACAAAGCTAATGTAGCTAATAAGTGCTACTGTTTTTAGCTACACAACATACTTTATCCCATGTTTATAGATAACACTGTATCAGAGATTATAATTCCACACAGTTTGAAGAAAGTGTGTGATGATGTTGATATGCAGTTAGCATGATGCTAATCTCAGCCTCAGACACTCCACCCACAGACTAACACAAATGGGTAAATACTTTACTCTGAGGTGGCCACAACTATTGGAATTTTGTCAGCACTTACATGTGTAAACACTTCTGTTCACCTGTTTTTTTTCAGTTTACCAGGTAACAAACTCTTCTTTATAAGGCTAAATGCTAGTTAGTCACGTGTAGCAAGCAGTTTCCCGCTCTGCACACATCAAAGCCACTGCAGTCAAGAAAGGCTGCGTTTCTCGGCTGTAACGTTCTATAGAATCCTTCAAATGCAGCCCAGAAATGTGTCCTACTTTTCTGAGGAAAGGAAGGACTCAACTGGTGTATCCTTTGAGACACTTGCAATCCCTCATGTGTAGCACAAAACCATTTTAAAAACGGCAGAAATTAAATATTAAATTAAATTTGATGTTTTTAAATGTGTTGAGTTGCTTATGTAAGTAAGAACAGCCTGCTTAGAATGTGTGTACGTCAGCATTGAAGAGGAGCCTTCGTATACCAATGCTAGCAACGTCTCTCCTACATCGACTGCAGTCTTCACTTAGAGACATGCCTCATGGCAACACTAACTGCATTCCAAAGCCTAGGCTGCAGCAGAGCTAGGGCGGGTCCTCGGTAGGACTGTCCTGTGAAGACTCCTTATTACCCCACAGGTCACACAAATGGAACAGTCCTAACGAGGCTGCGTGGTGATGTCACCACAGCGACACAAAACTTGTGAGGGAACTGGTGAGAAAATGGAGCCCGTTGCATTGTGTTTGTTGCTTTTTCTTCACGGAAATGGAGGAGATGTTATGTAGTACGATAAACTACATACATACAAATACTTGTAAATAAAATACGATATATGGACGAATATGATATACGGACGAATGCTTCAATCAATCAATCATTTTACACTTTATAAGGTAACGAAGACGAATTAAAGTACGTGAACAACTTACATTTTAAAACAAGCTCTGCTCCAGCGGCTTCATTTTCCATAATTTTCATGGTGCTCTTAATTTTTGCTTTGCGTCATTCCTGCGCAGATAACTGTGGGTAAGGAAAGGCCTGGAAGGATACATCTGATGCATCCTTGAAATCACTCAGAACGTAGGCTGCATTTCTAGGCTGTATACGAAGGGTCCTTCACTTTGGAACAGCCTGCTATGACATAGCGGCCAAGAAACGCAGACTACCTCGGCTGCAGCCTAGGCTTTGGAATGCAGCTACTGATCCTTTTAGAGTTATCAAACATATTCCAAGACTTTCTTTGGTATTACTGACACAGGAGCTCCTGTGGTTGCTGAGACTTTGTAAAACACTTGGGTCTGTTTTAGGTGCAGCACCATCTTCACAAAAGCAAAAACAACTTCTGCGGCTCCTTCCTATCAAAGTATTTTTCACCAACATTCATCAACAAAATCCATCAGGCTTTCTAATAAAAATCGGAAATCAGGCTTCCAAGATTACCATAAAGTTATGAAGCTATAAGCTTTCTTTACTTATTAGCTACACTGGCCTTATAGCTCCAGCGCAAAGCTAAAGAACTGACACCAAAGGTCTCAGCTGATTGACTACATTCGTAAGGCCAAACTTTCTAAAAGTTCAGCATTTTAAAACACTTTTCTAGATGCATAAAATAAACATTCAGAGAGATCAATTGTGAATGTGTACTGTAGTTTATCCACGTGTCCTTAAGACATAACAGCCACTGCATTAGGAGCCTGGACCTGGATTTTGTCTTGGTCTGACACCCTGCGGAAGAACTTGTGACCCCTCTCATCGATGTCCTCGAAGAGGAAACCGGGTGGGGACTCAAAGCTGGCTGGACACACGCTGATCTTCTTTGGGGTAAATTCAGTGCGGTACATGGTGCTTTCCTCCAGTGGGGCATCAGCTCTCATAGGGGCAGCCAGGGGCTTGTAACTGACGTTAGGCTGCAGCGGGTGCTGGATGAAGTGGGCCTTGAAAGTGGTCAAGTCTTCCATCTTCCCACTGGCTCTCCTCATCTCCTCCGGCTTGCGGATGACGTCCAGGCGTCGGGCTGAAACCCAGGGCTTGAAGTCTTCCTTCATGGTGGTGTTGGCCTGAAAGGGTGCAGAGGAACGGGTCGGCCTGGGGAAAGGCTTAGAGGAAATGAAGGGCTGGACTTCATGCTTGACATAGGTGGTTCTGGTGGTGGTGCTCAAATCCATGTCTGCAGTGGGACTCACGTACTCCACAGACTTGTGGAGTTGTGGTAAAGAGACTGGCCATTGCTGGAAGCGCTCACGGAACTCAGTGCTGCTTTGGAAGGGTGCTTCGGAGGACATCTTTACTCGCTCAGGCTTGCAGCTTTTGGGCATCTGTCCTGGAAGGCCCTGGTAGAAGGAGTGGGAAAATTGATTCTTAGATGCTTTGTTATTCTCTTTTGAAAGATTCTGCACAAAATGTCAGAATCAGACCTTTACATAGGCTCATGCATAAAGGCTTTAATACAAAAGCATCAACAATGGTCAAAATAAAAGGCAAGATTTGTAAAGAATTACTTTATGATCATATCTTGCCATCCTGAATCAAAACTGAAGCGTAAGGTGTCTACAGATTCCCACCCCTACCTGGAAGTCCCTCCGATGGGTGGTGAGGTCCAGAAAAGGCTGGTCGCTGGGCTTATACTCCTCGGGTGCTTTGACAAAGCGAGCCTCCACAGGGTGAGGAACATAGGAGAGTTGGTTACTGGTAACTCCTTCAAAAGGAGCACCAGACACTTTGACTACGTTTGGGGGCTTGAAGGTCTCTCGAGGAACCGTGCCTCTCGGGACAAAATCATCCTGGAATGTTGTGGTGTTCCCAAACTTCCCAGAAGGTGGATGGTATGCCACGTCTGGTTTGGCTAACTCCCGCTTGCTAATTTCCCATGGACGAAAATCCTCTAAAAACAAAAAACAAAATGTACAACCAGTTTTTAAGGGGCAGTAACATCATCTCTCTTTTTTAGTGTGCGTTTTAGGAATAAGATAAGACGTACAAAGTCATGGTTATGACTATTATCTTATTCCTGTGCCTCACTAAGTCAGGTCTATGACAAAATTGTCAAATTTCCACACCTGTTGAGTCGTAGCTATAACTTTATCTCATTCCTTTGACTTACTAAGTCACAGCTATACCTTTATTATCTCATTCCCACATCTTACTACAGGGGTGGGGAACACCAATCCTGGAGGGATGGATTCCTGGACAGATTTTATTTATCAAATGAAAAGCAGAAGCAAAGGTTAAGCCTTCAAGTCTTACACACAGTAATCCATGTATGGAGTGCAGTAAGTGTAACACAGTCTCAATCTCTACAATCTCAGAAATAAATGTATGAAACTGTGACTGGGGCAGGTCCCCTCTTTTTACTTGAATGGTATCCTAAAGGGTTCATCTCAGTACCTTTAGTCAGGAAATATAACTGTACCATATTCCAATGAAGTTATTTTTTCTAAGTTGTATTGACTCCACACACCCCGTCTCGTCTCCAGGCTTTCATTTTATTGTTTTGTTTTAAAGCATTAGGTTATTAAAAGGCACAAATACATACTTTTTACCTGGGAAAAACTTATTAAAGGTGCATAATTGGACCTTAAAACCACTGTTGTACCTTTGAGGGAACATTTACATTGTCTGTATGTTGATGAATGACAAATGTACCTGCACAGAACCTTTATTTCTAACAGTGTAAAGATGCATCATGGATTTTACATGAACATGACACAGCTGAATCATACATGGCAGTTACTCTAAGAATTGCTCTTACAAAAGTAGGTTAATGTAGTGTAAGCATTCTTGCCCGAGGCTCAGTTTTCAGGTTATTAGTTATTGGTTGCCATTACTGTCCGTAATTCAAATACTGGGCCGTTAATAAAAATAGTAATTTATATTTCCATTTTATCTGTGAATGATATATTAGCTGCTGTTATATTGTGCACCTCTGTTACCTGTGTAGGTGGGCACTGTGTCCAGTTTACCGTTGGTGACCCGTGCCCTCTCCTTTGGCCTCAGTGGAGCCACAGGCTGAAGTTGGTAGGTGTTGAAGTCCTGTTTGTACGTCGTTCCCAGGTCGATCTCACCGGGATTCGGCTGGTAGTCAGCCTGCTGTTTGCCGGGACGCCGGCTGACCTCATATGGAATGAAATCAGATCTACAGCAAGCGGGAACAAACAGAGGCAGTAACAGCAGCACAAGCAAAGCATTTAGAGCCATAAAGGTCATAGAATAACTGATAATATTTAAAGCAATTATTTTTTTCACTAATGTATGCAGTTTCAGGACTTTTACCTCCACCATGTGAAGCTAATTCACACATTTTCCCCACTGTCCCACTGAGTGTGCCTGTTTCTTCCCCTGTGTTGTGGCCATGTGCTTTTTTAGCAAATCTCCTTTTGTTTTTGATTTGTTTCCTTTGCTCTGCCCTTTTCCCCGTCTTCCCTATTAGGATTCTTACCTGTTTGTAGTCCCTGTCTCCTCCCTCTCCCAGGTGTTCCCTATTGTTTGTAGCCTATATCAAGCTCTTAGTTTCAGCTTATGGTGGTCTAGTCTACACTTCACTTTGTTATATGTAGCGGTTCTGTGTCTGCCTTGTGTTTTGTTTGTTTAATGTGTTTCTTTGTTTAAAACCTTGTAGTTATTTGGTACTATTTAATGTTTCTATGAGTTTGTTTTGTTTCTTAAAGTTTGCTTGCCCTTACAGCCAGTTTCATTAGTCAGCATAATGACATTAATATAAAATACATATCAATACGCTTCTATATATAAGATAATATTCATAATCCTATCAAGGCCAAAACCACAACAATCAAATACAACACTTTATTATTTTACTATTATACAGATGTATGCTAAATTTTGAACATGTTTTGTTTGTGTTCTAGGTGAAAATAAGTTTTACTGCACATTTTAGCGTGCAATATGTTTCACAAGCTTGCAACATATCGCTGTTGTTGGAAGAAAACCTCGTATCTCCATTTTGATGTTTTTCAGTTTTTCACATAATTTGAAAACACCTGGTACCCTTTACAATGTGTGTAAATTTCATGATGAATGGACTAAAAGAAACGGCCCAAAATGATATAAAATGAATTAAAAGTACAGAGGTACTAAAGAGGTTTTCTTCTGACAACAGTGATATACATATTGCAAACAAAAAAAAATCTCCAGCCACATTTTATTGTTTACTTTAATGTGTTTTCAGTAGGTAAACCATAATTGTGTATTAAATTGTGAGGAGTGTATTCTCTGTAGAGGATGTGTTAATTATTAACACTTCAACAAAACCTGCACTTTGAACAGGGGTGTCTGAACTTTTGTACACAACTGTAATTCTCTATTTAACCTCTTTTCCTTTGTATCAACACTTAAGTGCATTATGGTTATCCATTTCTATTAACTCCTGTATACTGCATTGATTGTAGGTACCTGGGCCGGATTCACAACAGCTTTCTTAAGAAAAAACTTGCGAAGGTTCTTAAGACAAACACTAAGAAGTCCGTAAGAATGTCCTTAAATGCAGTTCTGGGAAAATAAAAACCTTAAGAAGAACCTCAAATATTCTCTTAAAATAATCTTAATTTTCTTCAGATTTTCTTCAGAAAATCTTCATTGCTTCTCACGTCAGCTACGTTGCATTTTACCACGTACCATAAACGATGCGAGATACATTTTGAATTTGCATTAACCCTTAAAATCCCAGGCTTATTACATACAAAGGCTTGTAATTCAGCAACTACAGGGACTTCAAAGCAAACTGACTGAGCTATTTTTGGTTATAGAAGTGTGTAATAAAACTTCGGGCCCACTGGTGGGCTCTGACCATTTAAGGGGTTATTTCCGTTATTTAGTTTAATCCACTCAGAAGAGCAAAATGGAGGAAAAACATCAAACAAAAATTAGCAAACAAGAATTAGTGGTTATGGTGGAAGAAACAGTCAACAGGAAAAAAAATTCTTCTTAGAAAATGCAATAATTGGAGTTTATGGATGAGGATGAGGAGCAGCAAAGGTAGCGTTCGTGTTTGATGATTGATTTAGACACTGACCTCATCCACTCTTACAGCCTAAGATGAGTGTGAGGCTATCGTACAGTTAAGAACTCATTTAAGAACATAATATTTTCAAGAATACCACGTGTTCTTAGAACTTTCAAGAAAACAAATAAGATAAAAAGAATAACAATTTCTCTTAACTTTTTTCTTAAGAATGAAGTTAAGAAGAAAGACACATTTAAGAAGATTTTCTTTCTTAAGACACTTTTGTGAATTCGGCCCCTGATCTAGTTCATGTAAGCGCTTCAAACTATTTTGTATTGTTATTATCTTTTATTATTGTTGTTAATAAGCAGAACAACAATCAACACTAACATATAATCATAACTGAATGAACAGACTGTGTAAAGTGTGTCAGATGAGAGTCATGTACTTGAAGGTGGTTGTTCCCTCCATCCTGCTCCTCTCGCTCTTGTGCTCGTATTTCGGTTTGAGGCTCTTGGGCGGCCGGCAGCTCTCATAGGCCGGAAACTTCTCGACATATTCGCTCACCACACACCTCTCACTGCCCTTCCTGTACAGCGCCGTGGGCTGGTGAGTGCAACGGTGGCGACTATGGATGATTCAGATCAGAGAAACATGAGTTTCAAAATCATTTTGTCAATACCTTTAATGGGATATTTGGATATATGAAGCTGCTGTAATAATATATCAATCAATAAATCAATATAATTATCCCCAAAGGGGAATTGGTGGCATGTTCATGTATCTCAGCTGTGTCCTACTCTGCTCCTGGTGAGCTGCAGAGTTTAGTTCCAGCCCTAATCTAACTGCATCAGGGTCAAGAACAGGTGAATACTATAGAGATGTATTAAAGGGGAATTCCACCCAATTTTTCAAACTTTCCGCATAATTAAATGGTTAAGATGTAAACAGAGTCATTCAGAGTGGTTTGGTGTGAAATGCTCCATTCTAGAGAAACTGACTGATGACTGAGACATTGTTTTAAAAATCTATTTGTGGTGGAGGGGCACACGCAGTGTGCTGGGAGGCAAAATAGTCACTGAATAAAACTTATTATTTCAGATTTTCCACTTCATCAACATCAACATTCCATATAAACTCAGAAGACACATGTAGAAGACACATGCTCACTGGTCATTTTGGATAGTAAATAAAATGTCCACATGAATAAGTCTGTGGGGTTTTGCTGGGGTGTCTGTTGTGATGACAAGAAAAGAAAAAAAGAAGCAAAACTAATCTGTATCGTCTTTCCTTATTATGGGCTTGTTATTATTATTATTATTATTAATTAATTAATTAATTAATTAATTAATTAATTAATTAATTAATTAATTATTTTTTATTCTATGTAATTTTAGTTTGTGAAGATGGGCACTTTAAATTTCAGTGTCAGGACTATTTGTATCAGAAGAAATATTTTAAACATATAACTATAAAACTCTAACGTGGCTTTTCTCTCCTGCCCTGAATTATTTATATAAACTATAAATCATTCAAACATTCCGTGTGTCCAAGTAAACTTGCAAAAATAAACAACAAAACCGTAAAACAATAAACAATCAATAATCGAACGCTCACCCGCAGCTGCAGATTTCACAAACGCAGAGCCGCTTCATTCTTTATAACTTTTCTTCTAAGTTTCCCACCGGAGCCAGAAAACACACACCAAACACATCGAACGCGTTTCCACGACAAGAAACAAAACCATCGCCTAGCAACGGCCCTGACGACGCCGCGTGACGTCGCACAGATCGGAGATTTTCATAGGAGGAAGGACAGCGCGCACTCCCTTCACTCAGCATCGCTACGCAACGACAAACAAAAGGCTCCGTCTCAAATCAAACTCTTGTTCCCTGCGTAGTAGCGAAATGCCTTGTTGTCAGGACAGCGGTAATACTCCACTAGAGAGGGTACTAGAGCTCGATTCGGAACACAGACAATATTAGTAACGGGAAGTGCGCCGTTTCCACCCGTTTGCGCGTTTCTATTTCAAAATAAAACACTGACCGCTTAATACTGCTGTAGTTATTGAAAATAAATTGCGCTGCTGAAGTAACGTTGTTAGTAGTTGGAAAATAAAATAATAAAATGCCATTGTAATACTATATTATTATTATTATTATTATTATTATTATTATTGTTATTATTGTTGTTGTTGTTGTTTTTATTATTATGTCATATTCCATTCAATCATTTAAATAAATAGTTTCTCATTAATTCATTAATAGTAATAGCAATAATAATAATAATAAAAATAATAATAAGAAGAAGACGACGACGAAGAAGTGGACATTTCGCAGTAGTCACTCTAGTAATGTTCGCCTATGAGGTCTTTTATTTTGAAATATAGCAAACCTGCTAATATTTCTACCTTCACACAGCAAACAACACGTTTTGCGCTTGACTTTAAGTTTTCCAATATTTTATTTTTAACCAGAAGTTCCTGCTTTCGTCTTTGCGCGTTTTTGACTTCGGCTCTTAATTTAACAAGTCTGAGTTGTAGTGTTTTATTCAGAAATCTCTCCATTCAGACAGACATGGAGCAGCGTGTTCTGAAAGTTTGTTAACAGCATGGCAGCCACTAACGTTATTATCATAAATACACAGAGTTTATACAGGAGACTCCGTTTTAACAGCTTAAAGAGTTTACAGGCTGAGCAGTGAGAGGTTCATCAGCTGTGACACGAACTCAGAGGTATGTAACCTATGTGCTGATGTTAGTAACATTGATTCACACCACTGACCCCTGACGTCCTGAGTTTCTCAATCTTTTTATTGAATATATAGCTACATTTATACATGCATTTGTTTTGTTAGACAGTGATTAAGTTGGAAAATCGTGCTTAAAGAAATTGCAATAAACAACACGAAACATAATTTGGCAGCTGTCAAAGCTCACCGACTTTTTAATGAATGGTGATTCATGAACACTTAGATATAAACAACCAGACAGACAGGTTAGATAACTTCTTAATGCTTATTTATGTATTTATACTGTTATACTCTATAGACGTTGAATAATAAGACTTTTAAACTAAGCTTGAATCTAAACGCTAGCTTACTGAACAGCAGCGTTAGCATTTCGCAGTGTTTATTTTCTGTTTTATTTTCTATTTGTGAGCAGAATATCAGAAAATAAAGCTAAATGCTACAGCAGGTGTCTGTAGGTGCCTAGTTACATGGTTAGCACTTTGGCTAAGTTGACAGTTTTGCTTGAAACTCTGACCTGCTGCCAAATAAAAGTATGAATTTGTGTCCAGCTGCTTTAAAATTACGCTTTATTACCAGCAGAAGAGCTGGACTAATTTTGGTTTGCTGTCTTTACCTTTAAAAAAAATTCCACCAATTTCATTATCCATCAAGATCAGGGTCAGGAACAGGTGAATGCTAAGGAGATGTATTAAAGGGGAATTACACCCATTTTTCAAAGTTCTTGCATAATAAAATGGCTATGATGTAAACAGAGTAATTCGGAGTGATTTGGTGTGAAATGCTCTTTTCTAGAGAAACTTACAGAATCAGAAGTGTTCACAGTGGTGGTGATAGGAACGAAACGTCCACCTCTAAAAGCTCCCTTACATTAAGTTATTACATGAAACGGACTGAGACAGTGTGTTACGATAGTTTTTAAAATCTTTTCATGGTGGAGGGGTACAAGTGAGGCAAAATAGTCCCCAAAGAAAAGATATTTTTTCAGATTTATGTCTATTTTATCATCACCAACATTCCATATAAAAGACACATGTCGGTTCACTTGTGGTTTTGCTTAGTAAATAAAATGGCTGTATTTGTGTTGTAGACATTGTGACACCTGGTTCCTATCACCACCGCTGAGTCACTAAGATTCTCTATAATGAACCGTTAACTCGAGTTATGCTGACATTTTCAAAAATCGATGGAATTCCCCTTTAAATCCTGTGTTTCATATCATGACAACTGACTATTTATTTTTTGTGCTTTTAGATTATCAGAATGGGGCACACGAGTCTAGAAAAACTCATTAGGCTGCAAAAGAAAACTTCAAACATAAGAAATATATGTATTCTGGCTCATGTTGACCATGGTAAGAATATTTTTAACAGTTCACAGTTTGTTGGGAGTATTTCATCCAATATTTTATGATTTTATTGTTCTGCAATCATGTTTTAGTGAGCAGTTTTTTCATCACAACTTTCCTGCTTCATCATACAGGAAAAACAACACTGGCAGACTGTTTGGTTGCAAGCAATGGCATCATTTCCACTCGCTTAGCAGGGAAGGTATGTTTACTTTTTTTATGTTTACTTACGTTTGTTATACAGCAAACACTGGCTCATATTTTTATTGCTCTTCATTAATATTCATCTTCTCCTGTTCCGTTTTTAGCTGAGGTACCTGGACAGTCGGGAGGATGAACAGATCCGAGGGATTACCATGAAGTCCAGTGCCATTTCATTACACTATACGGCAGGTACTCACCTTAAGGGTTGTCACAATACTGCACTCTTAAAAACGATGGTTCTTCAGGGGTGCTTTAGTAAAGAAAATGGTTCTGTATGAGTACTCAAAGACCCCTTTGCATGATTAAAGGGTTCTTTGCATTGTGAAAGTGTTCTTCAGATTGCAGATTGAAGAGTGCTGTAGATGGTTCTATATAGAACCAAATTGGATTCTATATAGAACCTTTTTGAAAAGGGGTCTATATAGCACCAAATTGGGTTCTGCTATTGTTACAGTGTCAGTCTTCTTTCAATAGAAGAACGCTTTTTGGTACTATATAGAACCATATACAGCTCATTCTTCATCAATCTGAAGAACCATTTCACCATGCAAACAACCATTTAATCATGCAGAGTGTTCTTTGATTGTTCATGGTTTCAATGTAGAACCATTTTCTTTACTAAAGAAGCTTTGAAGAACCATAATTTTTCAGTGTCTTGTACTCTAAAGGGTTCTATATAGCAGCAAAAAGGTTCTTTGACTTTAGTGGAACCCTTTATGGTGCTGAATAGAACCATTTTTGAAAAGCTCTTTAAAGAAACTTGTACAGCAGGTTCTCATGCAAAGAGTTGTTTGAGTGTTCTTTACAAAATAATCTTTAAAGAACCCTTGTTTTTAAGAGTGTAGGCACATATTAGCATGCACGTTTTGATATGCATGTAGGCAGAACACAGCGTCAACCTGGTGTTAGTGTATTTAAATGAAGTTTTAAAAGGTAACTTGTAACTAGCTTATCATTATGTGTGTTCACAGGGGAAAGTGAATACCTCATTAATCTGATCGACTCTCCTGGCCATGTGGATTTCTCCTCTGAAGTGTCCACAGCGGTGCGGCTGTGTGACGGAGCTATCGTGGTGGTGGACGCAGTCGAAGGAGTTTGTCCTCAGGTATTAATTCTGACCTGGTCACCCATGTTTGGTTTGAAGCTGCAGGTCTTTTGGTTTTGTTTGTGTTCGTTGGTCATTGGCAAAGTCTCGAAGTGGTAGTTTGGTCCAATTTACCAGCTCCCGAGTGGCGCAACTGTTAAAAGTTGGTGACGCCACAGCCTTCTGTGATCGGGAGTCCAAGAGAGCATAATTGTCCTCACTCTCTCTGAGTGGGTAGGGTGGTCCTCTCCCACCCCCCTAGCTCAGCACGATGCTAGCCAATGGGGGCGTCTGTCAGCTCACGTGACAGCATTGGTGGATAGCTTTCTTCTCCAAGTAATGTTACCAAATGTAGTTTGAAAAGATGTGGTCCTTCACGTGTCTTGGAGGAAGCACGTGTTAGATTTCACCCTCCCAGTTTAGTAGCATCATGCAGTAGGAGAAGATCTAGCTGTTGGGTTGGAACCGGACACAACTAATTTAGAGGGGAAAATGTAGGTCAAATTAGTAAAATTTAAATTAAAATAAAAGAAAAAACAAATTAATATATATCCTCATATGAACAAGCTCCGTTCTGATTGGCTGTGCCTCACTCACAAAACACTCAGAGCTGAAACACTCCTTATAACTTCAGTGTGAAGGGGCGGAGCCAAACAGCATATATAAGAGGATATGTGTACAACTCCCAATTTCTGACAAGGTTGGGGCACTGTGCAAAATGTAAATAAAAACAACTCGATGATGTGCAAATCATTTTAACCCTATATTTAATTGAAAATTGTACAAAAACAGAAATTTTATTGTTTTTTGAAAAATATATGCCCATTTTGAATTTGATGCCAACAACATGTTCCAAAAAAGTTGGGACGGGGGCATGTTTACCACTGTGTTTCATCACCTCTTCTTTTAACAACACTCTGTAAGTGTTTGGGAACTGAGGAGACACTGCAGTAGTTTTGAAAGTGAAATGTTTTGCCATTCTTGCTTAACGTAGGATTTCAGCTGCTCAACAGTTCAGGGTCTCCTTTGTCGTATTTTTCATTTTATAATGTGCCAAATGTTTTTAGTGGGTGACAGGTCTGGACTGCAGGCTGGCCAGTTTAGCACTTGGACTCTTTTAATACAGAGCCATGAAGTTACACTTGCAGAATGTGGTTTGACATTGTCTTGCTGAAATAATCAAGGACTTCTCTGAAAGCATATGTTGCCAAAGCATGTATCGTTCAGCATTAATGGCTACTTCACAGATGTGCCAGTCATCCATGCCATGTGCACTAATGCTCCCCTATACCATCATGAATACTGGCTTTTGAATAGTGCACTGATAACAAGCTGAGTGGTCTTTAGCCCGGA